TTTTTTCCAGCTTTTCAGTTTATGGGATGAAGAACTCGGATTATAGTTTTCCTTACGTGCATACATACATATTTGTATATACATATTCTCTGACACAATATGATCAGAGATTTTCTCTTGCGTTGCTTACTTGAGAACTCAACGGCAGTGGGAGCTCACTATTCCTAAAAATGTAAAAACAACGTCGGCGGTATCCAAGAAAAGATTGTGTCGCCATAACTACAATGGATTAATCTGATAATATTTGTGTAATGATAAACTAGTCTCCGTTAAAACGAACTTGTTGCTTGGTTAGTTAGTTTTTTTAAAATAAACCTACTTTATAATCGAAAATAAGGATCAATAGAGATTTTTATGTATTTTGTCTATGTTCATTTGTCCTAAAGAAAGTATGCTTATACATTTCAGGTACAATGAGTAAAATTGGGCTTGTTTACTTTAAAATCAGCAGCTTCGGTTTGTGAAAGAGTGTCTGGGGCAAATATATAGATCAATCGATTTGTGTAATGATCGACTACCGGTTTAGATGTGTAACAAAAGGAGTGTCACAAGCTTCCGCGCAAAAAAAAAAAAGGTGCCTATCACAGTGAGATAGCCTCAAAGATGAAGAAAACTGAGCCAAAAGCAGCGCTAGCACAGATTGTTTATAAGAAATAAAAATATATAAAGTTTTATTACACATAATTAAATATACGATATTAACAAAATAGAAAACAAATTAGACTTTGTCATCGTCTTTAAGCAACAAGAGAAGCATCTATTAAATTAAAGGGGATCAGAAAAAGAGTAATATAGAATAGAGTATAGGCTTACATCCAATAACACCGCAGGCAACACGGCTACCAGAGTTACCAGTAGAATTAGACAAAGGAGTTCCGCCAAGACCATAATCGTCTTTGCCAGAATGAACAACGACAGCACGACTACAAAGAAATACGAATTAAGAAAAATCGTTTTCATTGTTTGATTGTTCTTACCCAATAACGGAATGGATCTTTGATAATTGAATTAGATCACTGGTGATGTTTAAGATGGCCAAGCCAGTAGTATTGTCAGCAACAATGTTACCAAGGTCACCAACATGTCTTACTTCGGCATCAGGGCCACCATGGGTTTTGTTGAAAGGATTGTAATGAGCACCAGTAGAGTTACAACCTATAAAGAGTTACGATCTATACTAAAAGCGCACAGTTTATCCAATATACCTTGCGAGAGATCGCCAAATTCATGAATGTGGATCCCATGATCGCCACCAGTCAAGCCAGTTAAGTTGGCATAGATTCTAGTAGGACTGTCTTGACTTTCTTGACTAAAGTAAACAAGACCATTAACAGGGGGCACGTTGAGATAAGCAACGGCCTTAATGGGTTCAGCGACAACAAAGGAAACAGCAGCAGAAGCAAGAGCAATGGCGACAGCAGTAAAACGCATTTTTCAAGAGAAAGAAAGTGTATGAAAAAGCAAAGAATAACAAGGTTTATTTATACTTGAATGTTTGTATCACTCAGAAGTGGGGGCTTTAAAAATCTGATAGCTTTCAATTCATTCTTACGTCCGCCGTCTGACTAATCTGAATCTCCTTTTTATCTGATCTTTTAGTATAAAAAGTTTTCTTTTATTATTAAATAGCTTAGTTGACTGGATCGCACCAGTTGTTGACAGGCAAACAAGACAAATATTTACAGTTAGGGCAAATCTAAAAATAAATTTCATTGTGAGTGACAATGCACATAATGTATAAATATAGATAATTTTTACTGTGCTGGGATCGTAGGCAGCATAGAATTGGTGGATAGACACAGCAAACAAGACGATCAAAGCAATCAAAGCCACAACACGCAGTATCCAAGTAATAACTTTTACCCTTGTGGTCGCCATAGGGCGCATTGGTGCAACCGTCATTCCCAAAAGGATTCCAACAACGAAGCCTCCTATAGACAGTCATGGTTTAATTTCCCGCTTTCTTCCAGTTTTCCTTTTTTTTTTTTTTTATATATACCAATGTGTGCAAAGTTATCGAGGCCAGGCAATAAGCCAAGGACCAGACTAATTATGGTAGAAACCAATAAACTCATCAAATCTCGTACTGGATGAGGTAATATTTTCCAATTGACGAGTACATCTATAAACATGTAACCTATCAAGCCAAATAAAGCGCCTGAACAACCCGTGGATGCGCTTAAATTTTGTGAAAGCATTGCGGACAGGACAAAGCCCCATATCCCTGATGCCATATACAATATAACATAACGAGGAGTACCGAGTGCTCTTTCCAAATCAACACCCAATCTCAGGTGTGTCAACATGTTCATCAAAAAGTGAATCACACCTGCATGCATAAAAATCGGAATAACAAGTCTGAAGCTCTGACTGGGTATACCATTCGGGAATCCACCAAAACCACAGAGCTCCTGTACGGTACAAGTATCTGTTAATGATTGATAACAGTTGGAAATAAGTGTAGTTGAAGGAAAGCTTGGGACAAGGCGAATACAGGGTGTAAATCTTGCTCCTACATTGACAAGTACCTGTGTATAATAGTAAGAATACAAGCTTTTGATTTTCTTTATGTTTTTGTTTTTCACCTGGAAACTAGGACCAATCATCGGATTAAATGGATTCGTTTCAATCACGCTTCCTGTTAATTGATGGAACTTTACAAACTCATAGATAAGCACACCAGCCATAACAATAGCAGATAGGTAGCTAAAAATAGGTGTGTTAATGGGCCCAATTAAAAGCCTTAGTAAAGGATGTCTATTGTGTCCATAAGGCAAAATAGCTGCTGGTGGTGCCTGGGGTTCTAATAAAGCGTATTGCTGCCCCATAGGAGACCCTCCATAGTAATATTGTGGTTGGCCTGGAAGTGGAGGCGGAGGTGGACTGTAGAACTTGTTATCTTGCTGAGGAAAATATTCTCGATTAGTTTGCTGTTCTAATGGTGTTCCAATTGGTGTATTGTCAACTGAATGGAGCTTTTGAAAGCCTTTACGTTGCTGCATCTCATGGCTGTCAATGGCATCAGATGTATGATTGGGGACAGGTGGTGGAGATGTTGACATTTGATTATAAATAATAATAAAAAGAGAGAGAATATAAACGCTATGGCTTAAAAGGGGCTGTTGTCGTTATTATAATTATTATAAAAAATTATAAAAAAGAGAAAGTCGCCAGAAATCTATTTTTGGTTCGTAACTATTTGCATCTGTATTTTGATGAGCTTAATCACGTCACAGTGCCAAGAAAATCTGGGCTGCCAACTATTTAACAACTGGGCTTTGCATTCGACAAAAGGGATGTATCACTTTATATTTTACATTACTTTTTTTGTTTGTTGTAAATAATGACAGTGTGTATCATTAATGCTTATTGCTCTAATAGTCGCTCTATGCAAATCATTTGATCTGTTTATGAAAAAGAACCATGGAAACTATTTATGACAGAAGATCAGATTGAGCAAGTGTTTGAGAAGGGGTGGTTTCAAAACAATCGAAAGCGTTTAACTGGTTTTGTACACATTCCCTATTCATATTTTGAATTGATTCAGTAACTTATCTGCCTGGAAAAAAAAAAAAAAGCTACTACAAAGCAACAGAAGAAGCATAAGTCTACATATATAAACATGGATCTATTACAATTGTTATGCAGACTATAATGATAAATACCTTCAAATATGCTGATATAAATGTTTGTTCTCCTGATCTGCTAAGAAAAACATTCATCAGTTCATATTTACAAAATGACAGAGGGCTTACATAACAGCTGCATTGTAGTCAAATCAGGTACAGTGACGTGTAGCACCAGCCATGTCCTAATGCTATGAATACAGACTCTTATAGGCATGAATTGAAATGAGTGCAGAAATACGACATATAGATCATGTGCTTTTGATAAAATGGCTTGATTTTACCCATGTCAATCCTAAGAAACAAATCCATGTATTCAAAAAGTATATATGCGATACGAATTCTTTTATACGGATCACATATCATTCTTCATTTGTTTCTAAAACGCTTTCCTTACGCTCACTTATCTCTAGGCATAAGGAAGAGGAGGAGAAGGGAAGAAAGCATAGAGCTCCTTGAATTCTTTTAGATACGTCATATGCTACTAGTATACCGCATTTGGCCATTGTCAGCAGCAAGCCACGAGCCATTTACATTCTGCGTATAAGCTAGGTTGACTGTATTTTAGAATAGTAGAAATATAGGCAAGACAATATTAAAGCGCTGTACTTTTTTATAAGCTGGTGCAGTTGACGAGCTGATAGCAAATGGCTTCATACTTTCGCTTGCTTTGTAGCTGTGTGTTTTATTTCTTGTATCGACTTGAGGGATTGGCTGCGCTATTTGTATAAACGTTTTAGTGTTATTCTAAAGTCATGTAGCCCCAAAAAAAAGGCTTGAAGATGCATGAAAGAAATATGGTGGATGGTAAAGGAACGTGTTTGCTTAAACGGATGTACCATGTATTCACTGGTTTCCCTTCAGTCATTGTAAATATTGCTTACATATTGTCTTTTATGATTTCTATGACATCATTCAACACATAACGCTAATACGAGTGTTTTCCGACTGTGGAGAGATTGGGAGGCGGCCAGTTCAGCGGCAGAGATAACCCGAGTTGGACGTCCATGGAGAGTGGGCCAAACTATTTCAGTTAGTGCAAAAGGTGTACGTTTTGATAAGATGGATATGGAATCCTTGTAAATACGTTAAACAAATTTTATTTATTTATAAAATAAAAAGGCCATAAGGGCCACGTGATATTTTTATTATATCGTTTTTGCCCTGGCCAGTTCAAGTTGTGAGATAGAATCTAAAAATCCCTCTGGGCTCGAGGGCAAAAATGCTTTGGCTGACAGATTCACGAAACAGGTGTTAAAAGACTGCTATGAAGAATTACATAACCATTTAAGCAGTTTCTGCCCTGGGTCAGATGGTGATAGTGGCTATTTTTCATGGTATAGGTGATCAAGCTCATGTAAGATAGCGTAGATTACGGGCCTTTTGATAATCCAAAACGATCTTGTTTGACAGGAGCGTGGTTTCGAGTGGGAAGCTTATTTAAAAGGAGGGATAGATGATCAGCTATAGACTTCGGTATTTGTAGACGGTGATGCATGTCGAGGCAATAGATGGCATGTTGTTTTGTAAGAAGCTGTGAGGTGTGTCGAAGGCAGCGAGTAGTGTTATAACTGGGTAACCAACCAAGACGCCACCGTATGCATCAGCTTCTTTCTAGCCTTGTCATGGGTAACCAAAGGATTGGATCCAAAGAAATTATTGGGCGACACAGTGGGAACAGATTTGAGCCGCATGCAGTACGCCGCTATTCTAAGTTGTTTTACAGGTATTGCAGACGTGTCTTCTTTAATAACTGTTTATCTAGGATATCAGTATATTGTGCACAACGTTTCCACAGTGGCATTTTTGATATAGTATACCACTGTGAATGACTTGTGGAGAGGCGTATATGTGGAAATAAGTAAATCAGAAGCGTATCATCTGGCAACGACAGAGATCATAAGAGGAATTGCGCTTGTACTATATGGGTACGCTCTGCCATAGTCGGCAATTTCGTCAGCTGTAGCATTACTTTTATAGAGGATCTGCAAGAACCACCAAATATTCTGTGTAGGCACGTATTTTGGGCGTCTTCCAATTTGTCGAGCAAAAGAGAACTAACCTTGCTAATAGCAAGACCATATTCTAATTGAGATCGGACTATTTGTTTGTAAAAACGAGTAGCAAGCAATCGGCTGAGACCATTGGGGTTAAGTCCAATCATAGCTAATTGATTCATAGTCGCTAGTGATTTGTTTATGTTGTTAGTAAGAAGCTCGAATGCATTTAGACAACCTCCAGGACAAAAAGGAACCCCAAGGTAAGAAAAGGAGGCTCTAGTCGGAAGCAGGTCTCCATAAAGGTAGTAATTAAGCAATTGATCTGTAGGGTTTAAAGGATCAACTGTGCAGTCTTTTCAGAAAGTAAAGGCGCATTTTTGCAATTTTTATAATACAATTTATACGAGAAAGCGACAAGTCAGCGCGACATCTTTTTCTGGAAATAGTATACATTTGTATACTTTTGGCAAACTTTATGCTACACATACACGTAATAGGCGTTCCACAGTAGTTGATTTCTTATCTTGGTAATACTTTAAGATTAATGTTTTGAGTGGTTCAGAAACTTCCGATAGAAAGCAAAAGGGTGACTGATTTCTAGCCCCTCATATCAAATGACCATTGCTCTTGCAAAACACTTGCAGGCTTATTAGTATTCCAACACTACTATAAACATATGAGTAGATGGAGTTTTCTTTTTTTTTTTTTGTGATGTGATCTATAAGGCAAAGCCCTTTTCTTTCTCCTTGAATTAAGCAAGGTACAGAAAATATGAATATTAATATTGTGTCATACAAATGGCCACAGAGTAACGCTTTAGAATTAAGGGCAATGTTTTTGCATATATTAAGCAAGTATTCATTACAGATTCTGCAAAAGGCAGTTGGATAAATGGCATATATAAAAGGCATTATTACAAGGAGACATATGAAGCATAGGTGAGCTGTATCATCATCATAATGTCAGTTACAATAACAATCAGGGACAAGTGACATGAAATGGAAAAAGCTGAAAGATGAACATTTAAATGCCGAAAATTGATATATATCTTGTTTTTCTGCCCTTCTTTTTTTTTTTTTTCTTCTTCTTCTTTATTTACACAATGCACTTGAATCAGAACCATAAACACCATTCATCAATAACTTCTATATCTTCTTCTATATCCAGCATCGACCTTCACTCAAATACGTCCTCGCATACATCATTCACTTATAAAAGATATTCAGAATTGATGCCTACCAGACGATGGGACGACTCTCAATTAGAAATGGAGCTTGCTGAAGATGACCTCATTGAAGAACAAAGGAAAAAAAAATTCATCAATTCATCTCTCCGACTAAAACTTTCAGAAAACCTTAAATTTCGTCATAGTCACAGCAATAGTAACAATACACCATTATTCAAAAGGCTTTATAGTTGGTTCACATAGGTCATACTCTTTTATCTTTATACCATCAAACATTCTATTATACGCCATGTACATATATATATCTTGTCTAATAAATCCCTTTGAGTCTAGAACTGTCTTTTTGACGCGTAGCATCTATCATATATCTTATCTTGTGTGAAATTGTGTGATTGAAAGGGTGTAAAGAGTAGCAACTGTAGCTTAGCAATCATACTTGTTTAGCATATTTTATTGAATCAACATTAAAATTGATAGAGCCCCTTTTGTAACTGTACCTTTTATTTTGTGTGACTCTATTCACTTTTTAAGAGACCAATCGAAACAATGAAAAACTTAAATTCCCCTTTCTTTCTTTACTCATCATGTCAGTTCCAATCTATTCACCAAACAGCCAATCCATCAGTCCTTCACTTCAACCAGGACTATATGAGTACCTCTCAGAACTAGTTTCTAAGCGTGTCGCTACTATTAAATACATCAGAAAAGCACATGAAGGAAACACACATTGGTTCAACACTATTCTGTTGACAAAAGAGAATCTACAGTCAATGTACCCAAATTCAAAAATGGCTAAAAGGTAATAAATTCTGCCACAGTATGAATAAGGAAGACTAATGGAAAAAGTATTCGTTTTAAAAGAACATATAATTTTTATGCGCTGGGTCTTTCTTTAGGCGCCATTTTAGATATAACAAATCCACTTGATTACATAAAGGCTTTAAATCAAATCATGTTAGAATTCGAGAGGCATACCAACGATGATTCAAAACAAAAAATGGTATCAGCACAATTTGACACCTTATCTGTAATATGATATTGATTCGTGCATGTTTACATAGAAAAATATCTTTAGAAAAAAAACCGATCATTCGGATAATGCAAGTGATTATGGTTATCTGATATTACCACATATCGTAAGTTAAGAGAGAGAGAGAGAAATCAAGAGGCACTCATATTATTATTAGCCGTTTGAAATGGATTACTTTGAGACCTTTTTTACATTGGTAGATATTGTCGCTGAAGCATACTATAAATTACTTGTTGGCACAGAAGGGCCCATCTGTACACAGGCTTTCTTTGAGCTGGTTCTCAAATGCGATGGAAAATTCAAGGTAAGGACAGGATGATAAAAATAAAGGTGAAGACAATTGAATGCCAGTGTATAGAAAATAGTTTCTATGGTTACAAAAGAATTGGACATCATAGCAAGGGAGGCTATTAAAGATGAACTGAGAATGATTGATCCCTTTTCACAAGCGACACAATCCAGTTTCCCAATTGAATTTGACACAAATGGGGATGCTTAAAAGAGAAAGAAATATATATCACAGGCACATATACACATATACATACATCATATACGACATTCATTTTCTTATATACATTTTGAAAAAAAAGTTTATAATCCTATCCTTTGTTACCCTCCTTTAATCACTCCTTAATCAATTGCTTTTTTCTTATGGCCCTGACTATACATAAAATAAATGCTACTGCTCCAGTAAGCAAGAGGTAATACACTTGCCAAGAACAAGTTTTGTACATGTCTTTTTTTTTATTTTTAAAAAAATATTAAGGAAAATAAAAAGAAAAATAAAAAAGAGGCAGATATAACTGTTCACTATCCATTCTATTTTACAAAGAAAGAAAGAAGCAAAAAGGAAGAGGGAAGTGACTATGTACAGAAAAAGCGCTCTTGGAACAAGCCTAGGCTGAGACTTTCAAATGTCCTTACAGCAAGTTCTTCAAATGACTCGACTATAGATCCAGTTTCTGGCTTTTCATACACAGGAGGGGGTTTATCTTTATATTTAGCAAACTTGTCATAGTTGGGAGTCGTAGGTTCAAACAATTCCTTTTCTGTCATCAAGCGGAAGTTTTCATCATCTTTAGGAGGGATCAAGGGCGAGCGAATATCAAGAGGAATAGGTAATGATATCTCTCCCTTGCTACGGTCACTGAAACTTCGTCTACTGCTATTCCTAAGCTGTTGAAGCAGTTGAGATGGCTAGTCATCTTTTTTTTTTGTTCATTCTGTTTTTACCTTTTCAATGCCAAATGAAGCTGCGTCTTTAGATTTTTGCTTTGCAACATTCATCTTTTTCTGTAACTGGCTCTTGAAACCAGAAAAAGAGAGACGTTTCTTTTTGACGCTGAGCTCTTCTGTTGATCGGCTGTCTTCAAATGATGCTTCATATCCTATGCTTTCTGCATACACTTGTGATAATGTTGGACTAAAAAAATCTGTGTCGTTTGGGGTGGATATAACAGGCTTTTTAGGCACCTCAGGAGGAGTCTCGATTGGACTGTGATGAGGAGATTCGACTGGACTGTTGCAAACAATTTCGATTGGACTATTGCCAGTAGTTGTTTGTTCTGGCGAAAGAAAGATATCTACAGTATCGCTAATATCATCGGGAAATACATTGGGCGTGACAAATGGCGTATCGTTTCCCTTTTCAGTTAGTTGTGAGTCAGAAACTTCCGAGTTTCTTCTGGTGTCATTATTGTCTTTGTGAGAGGATGCGACTGACTTGGAGGAAAGACTGGAAAGACTAGTTTGAAAGAGTCTGTCAATACAAATGTCTTGTAGAGTGTCTACAGAATCAGATTTCTCTAGCGTATGTTCTGAACTATCTTCGTTTGGTAAAGATCCATTATGGGAAGTGTCATCTCTGCTCCAAAGCTCTGATGAACTCATCGATGTGTCCTTTTTTAAGGTTATAGAGAGCGGAAGTTTTTCAGGAGGCTTGACTTTTTCTTCAGGGATAGCTCCAAGTTGATCATTTGATCCGCTAGACCAATTAAAAAAATTAGATCCACTGTTCCGCTTACGAGTGTTGAATGATAGCCTGATCGATTTTTTCATAAAGAATTGCAGCAAAGTTCGAATTGAAAGAAGAAAAGAAAAAAACAAAAGCTCTTTTAGTACTTTACATAATTCTTCGTAAATTTATTTTGCTAGGCCTTGGCTTTTTTTCTGACATATTCTAATTTGGGAAATGTGATGTACAGAAAAAAAGGATCGAAGGGCCTAGTAAAATGTTATTGAGCAGATCAAAACATCAAAGATGGATGATATGCTCGGTAACGCTCTTTCCACTTTAAGCATCAACCGTTTCAGTATTGGTAAGTATATTCCCTTCTTTGCTTTATATACGAAGAATGGCTTTTTACTCAAAGGAGCTGCCCGACTCGATGTTTACAACTATTACAAAGTATATGTATAATTTAGTGTAATCACAATGTCAGAAAAAGTATGCGGAAAATTCTTAGCCATAAGTAATAAAACTATCAAGATAATCTGTCCTGAATTCATCCCTAGATATATTTACTTATCACTTTCCAGAGCTTACCTGTATCTTTAATAGATAAAAATTATATGCCTAGCCTATTTATGAATAACCTCATTTCATGTTTATTTGGCCATAGAAAACTACAATATTTGTTTAAGAAAACGTAGATAAACTGGATATAGTTCATTTGCTCTTTGGTCAAAGCAATACATTTGTGAGTATATGGACTCTTTTGCTTATTGTTATACACTCTTTCCGGAAAGTAAATTCGCCTGTGATCGAAAATAGATGCACTCAATGGCGAGAACAAAATTCATGTTGTATGAAATGTAAATTCGTCGTCGCCAAGAATATTTTCGTAGTACCAGTCTTGACGTCCATGGATATACTGTATTTCCAAATTTAGATGTCGTATTGAAACCGTTGTAATGTTATCAGAGTAATAACAAATACAAAAAGAACATGGCTCACTATTCCATTTGACAGTAATATTAACAGGTGGTCTGTCTTGGAGCTGAAACTAACCTAATATTAGAAATCGCCCTCTTTAGTCTCCTTGTAAAAGTTTAAATTCTTTATTCAGTTTTTCCATGAAATCAGAAGAACATGTAGTCATATTTGGCAATGCATATTCTTGAATGGCCACAATGTAGATTGCTTCTATTTGACATGATTTCTTTGTCCTAAGTATTCAATCCTGAAATCTGTTTGAAAGAAAAACATATAAAAACCCATTTTAATCGAGTCCTTTTTTTGCTTCTTTACAGCAGTTATCAAGTGTCCCTCTGAGTGTTCAAAGATCCACCAATCAAAACTAGCCTGTCCTCATGGTCCTTGCTCTGACTCGCTTGTCCCGCCCTCTTTGCTCTCTGGCGTGTATCTGAAACGTTCCCCAATAGTCTCTTCTGACGCCCTGGGTTCTCTGTGTCCTCGTTTCTTTTTTTTTTGTTTTAACTTTCCTGGGTAGTTATCGCTACCCTTCCCAGAATGCACCTTGGTGGTAAGTAAAACTAATATTGGGATATGTGCTCTAATACTAACATACTTTTTTTCTCTTTTTCTACATATACTCATTATCTCTTTCTCTCTTTTGACATAATGTCGTTTTATTCAAACGTGTTTTTCTTTGTCGTCTTTTTACGTAAATAATTTTTTTATTTTACGACAATATTTTATAAAAATACAGTATGTTTTCTAAACAGCATGAACTTTCTTCGGCCCTGTGTTTCCACGTTATTTGTTAGTAGTTCAGAGAATAAGTACTAAAGCAGCAAGACACTGATTAGCGCTTGTCCTCTTTAAGCAGAGTTAGCCTATGAGTCTATTTAAAGCTAGCTTTACCATTTCCAAATGATATACCGATAGTATGCATATACATGTGCGTGTACGTAGCAAGCATTTCCTGCTTCTATTATGGCAACTGTCTTTGTTAGATCTGTACTTAACAAGAGAGCTAGCAAAAATCCTTGATAGGCCTTATAATTATTAGACTCACTCATTTGGACGCTCTTTTCTCTTTATCAGAGTATGCCAATAACTATAGACTTGGTTTCAGTACATGTAATAAAGTACTTTTATAGTAGCTACTTGACATGTATCAGCCTATATCTCTATTACCTGCTAGGGGGCGTTAAGCTTGTAATATACAAGAAGTGCTTACTGAAGCACAAGAAGCAGGACAAATGGTGCAAATATTTTAGAAACTTACACTGATTATCAAATTTAGGTATCCGCGCTTAAAGCATACTGTCTTATCAGTAAGAAAGAACGCTCACTAGAAGAAGGTTGAATAATCAAATCTATAAAGGATTGTGAAGACACGAATGATGAAAGTATACAAACACAAAATGAGAGCAAGTCTCTCAAACGGTTAACTATGCTATCAAAATGCACGTCTATGCTCTTACAGTTTGTCTTTTGTAAATGTGTATTTACCTTTGCAAAAAGATGCCAAGTAAGCTTACAGGTGCTCTCGTCGTACCTTGACTCATCTTTTTTTGGATGATGGTAAAGCGAGAGCAAGCTACTAGTGTTGACAAAATACGCGGCTTCTCTGTCATGTCTTTTCTTCTTTTATAGACCTTCATAAACGTGTGGATGCACACTTACCTTAAGAAAGGACACTAACTGTTTACTTTTCCATACGACACAGTTCAGCCAACCATAGTAAAGTAAGAATCAAAAGAGAGAAAGAAAAGAAAAGGAAAAGGAAAAGAAGGATAAAGCTTTTTTTTTTTCCTTCTCCTTATTTTTGGCTTGATCGACCAATGAAAGCTAATCTGTGCTTGAAAGCTCGCGTTTTATCTTTTCTGTCCTTTTGAAACAGATATCGTTTCAGTCTATCCTTGCTTAAGGAATCTATTTCAAAACGAAATAAAAGAGTACACTATCGATATAAGGAATGTATATAGTGCGTCTATTCACATTTCGAGTATTGGGACAATAACGCTAATTCAAAGTCGCCTTTGCTTCAGAAAAAGGGTTTTATTACAATGTATTTCTCATTTGCACATGTCCTACGAGTACTATCGGGTTCATGAATTTTATAATTATCTCATGATGCATATTCATTAAAAGTTCATTAGCTTGCTTAATACTGAGATCCATGAGGCTCTGAGACAAAGTAGTTCAAGTTCTCCTCCTGTCCATGCAATAAAAGAAGGCTACAACACTTTATTTTTTTGATCTTTAGCAGTGTCATAAAAAATAGCAGGCTGCAGGATGCTGCGAAAGTGTATTATCAAGTGACTGCTGCGGATCAAGGTTTTGCTGAGCAAGTGATATATTTCGGATCAGAGTGCCAGTGGAACAAATGAATCATAGTAACCGGGTGCATAAAGGGCAGCCGTGCAATATCACCAATATGATGAAAATGTAGGATCAAGCCTGCCTTTCTCTAGCAGAACAAGATCATTTGTTGATTATTGTTATTACTTTATTGATAAACTGATATGAGCAAACTTTTCACTTTTAAAATAAAGGAAGCCCTTTTACAGAAAACAGTAAATTTTTGACTCATTGTTGTTTCCGATGAGTAGTTACACAAGCTGCCTTTTTTTTTATAAGTGTACAGCATAAATATAAATCCTTTTACTTTTTTTGCCTTTTCTTACGCTCAATTACTCAAGCAAATAATGGATCATTTGATTCAAGTATACAATAGTTCTACACAAGTATTGATTCCAGTTCTTCAAAAGAGATCAAAGGCATCTTATATTACAGCCGCGATTGCCTTAATAATCGCTCAACGACTGTACTCTTACTTTCGTGTACCGAAACATCTACGTGGCTTCCCCAAGCTACCTTACTTTGGAATAGCAAAGTCGTTGCTGACAAGAGAGTCGCCAAGAGAAAGAGTGAAGAAATATGTATTACCCATTATTGATGAAAACGATGGATTTTATATTGTACGCTTATACACGCATAACATCAGTCATACAGAGAAATAGATCTAATGCATCTTTTTAGAGTAAAATTCCTTTTGGATGGATGCTCTACATCGCTAATCCTGTAGCAGCGAAACAACTTCTACTCAAATCAAGTATGTTAATATAGAGGCAACTAGATCACTGTTTTGTGTATTGAATGACTCGATTTTATAGGCGGGTTTCCCAAGAATCACGGACTGCTAGACAATATGGGGGAAAATCTATTTGTAGAATTCATTGGCAAAGATAATGTAGCTCTTTCTAATGGAGATACTTGGAAGAGACAAAGAAAGGTAATACAAAGCAATTACCGATATTATATACACTAAGCGACTTTTTCAGGTTATGAATCCTGCTTTCCATCACTCTTTGCCTATCAAAACCATGTCTAAAGTTGTGTTCTCATTGATATCAGCCATCGAGCAAGCAAACGGTACAATTCCGGTTGCATCTGCCATGCAGAATTTTACTCTTGATACACTTGGCCTTGCCATCTTTGGTAAGTTCGCATCTCTTTAGTCTACATCAAGGCACGTTTCTAAAGTGCTTTATAGGCTTTGACTTTAAAGCATTACAGGGTGATCCGGACGAATGGACCAAGACTTACAGATTTGTAAGCGACTGTATCTTTGATCCTGTTATCAATGTCTTCAGCTCGTACTCTTTTATCATTGACCGTATCTATCCTAGACGACGAAGAGGCGCTATAGCTACTAAAAAACTTAGTGAAAAATTCTTGAAGATTGCACAACAAAAACGCAAGGAAATCAAGAGTGGTGCTTATGCAGATGTACCAGACAACGAAAAGGATCTTTTGACGCTTATGTTAGAGGCTGAAGAAAAGGGCGACACATGGACATCAGAGGACGAGCTTAGAGTAAGTATAGATTCCCCTATTTTCCTTGTTGAGCAATGCCCACTGATATGTAATGTCAACAATAGCATAACATTGCAATCTTGTTCGTAGCTGGTACGCACCAAGTAATATACATACATATATCAACTCACATTCACCTTAACCTTAGGACATGATACCACTGCTCATGCTCTATCCTTCTGTTTCTATCATCTTGCAAAGAATAAGGTATGCTGCTATGACTATGTCATCTCTTCTATGACACTAATATATGATCTCTTAGGATGTTCAACAAAAGCTAAGAAAAGAGGTACTTAGTATTCTGGGTGATAAGCCGGTTGATGTAGTGCCTACAGTTGAGCAGCTAAAAAATATGCAATACCTCAATATGGTCATAAAAGAAGTAATAGCATAACCTTTCATCTTTTTATAATAATCTAATTGCTCTCAACAGAATCTGCGTATAAATAGTCCAGCTGATATGCTATTTTCACGAGATGTTAAAGAAGATACCATTTTGGCCAACACGCTTATTCCCAAGGGCACTGTTGTTACAATCAATATAGAGGCTTTGCACTACAACCCCAGGTTATGGCATAATCCGGACCAATTTGATCCTGAAAGGTTTGCTCCTGGCGGTGAACATGAAAAGCATGAAGGTATGACTTGGTTACCTTTTAGTAATGGAACCCGCCAATGCCTTGGCATGAATTTCTCTCTGTTTGAGCAACGATTGGTCATTGCTATGATCTGTAAGTTAACCTTGTTGACCAAAGCATAAATTAACACTTTTTCTTGGTTTTACAATAGTGAAAAAGTATGAGATTAGCATTCCGGAAGACTCCATTCATCGTGATCATATTGTTAGTGATATACCATTCAATGGTGCGCCCAAGTCACTGAAGCTGACTTTTACCAAGCGTCATTAAATAAAAATACATGTTTATTATCAACTATTTATACACATCAACATCAACTTTCTTTCCTCTTCGTCTTCTTGTTCATTTTCAAGATATGCCTTTATCACCTCCCATTCATCGTCACTCCAGTCGTCTTGATCTTCACTTTCCTCTGTGGTATCCTTATTGTCTTCATATTCAGATATGGATTTTATGAGTGAAAGGACTTCATTGATCTCTTTCAACGTCTCTTCTCTTGACTCTATCAATTCTTCATGTTGAACGCTATTCAACGTCATTGAAACAAGAAGAGAAAGAAAGGGAAAATAATAAAAAAAACAACAGGAAAAGAGGACTTTTTCAGTGACCGCCTATCCAAAAAAGGTGGGTTTCCCCACACAAATATAGAAATAAATGATCTACATGCAAATCTTGACTTTCTCTTTTGTATATCATATCAGTTTATGTGAATGCTGTAAAGTGAAGTCATCATCTAACTGCGACCCGCTGTGCAACATCAAATCAGATAAAAGAATTGAGCTTGTGATTGTATTCTATTCCTTAAGCAACAACGAAAAAAAGAGAGGGCTAAAGATGACAAAAGATGCCGAATTGCTCTCTCTCTCTCTCTTTCATTTAATTTACAGCCAAAATAGCCCCCTTTGCTCTGACCGGCAATTATATACAAGATCAAGGTTATGCAAACTAAATATTCATGTGAAAGTCTTATTGGTCCCACCTTTTTAGTCTCACTTTCCTCCCCTTTTTTCCTTCTTTTTTTATATCTTTATTCTTAAAAATGAACCGTCTTGAACAAATTGCACTCGATCCACGATTCCATGAAGCCTTGTCTGTCCTAAAAGGCTTTCGAAACGGTGTTGTTTATGGTGCCAAGGTTAGATTCCCGCATGCTTTGGTCATGACCATCTTGTTCAAAACTGGATCGTAAAGTTTCAATATATTTATATAAATACACATAATGCGTTAAACATGTATATATATGTATAGAGTGGAAAGTAAAGTCAAAGGTATTTTGAGAGCAACTAAACAACACGCCCTTAACTTGGGTACGTTTGCTACCATTTACAAAACCTTGATGATTGTTCAAAGAAAGATGAATGACGGAAAGGAAGCTAGTCTTCACCCTTTTATCGCTGGCGTCATTGGTGGTTACTATGTGTTTGGCGATAACAATAGTATTAATCAACAGGTTATTATCATATTTGAGTTTCTCTATATTTGTTCGTAAATTGAACATTTTTATAGATTATTCTTTATTTATTTTCTAGAGTTGTAATGGCTATAGTTAAAGTACCTGTAAAGAGACAAGTGGTGGATGCTCCACCACAGACATTCCCTGTATTCGCTGCTGTTGTTTGGGGATTAGTGATGGTATGGCATGAAGTGTATAGAAAGGGGGAGTTGCGTTAACATCAATTATAGTGGTTATTTAGACATGAGACAGATACCGTTCAACCTTCACTTAGAGCATCTATGCAGTATATTTATCGTGACTCTGATTCGTGGAATTCGCTTCGTACATTAATATGGCACAATAAATAATCTTTTACAAGTGCAAATTTTTATTATAAACTTTGTAGTGTTATAATATGCATTGGCTGTTTTTTAAAGGGTATAATAAGATGTTAATTTTCTTGTTGTTGATGATGTAAGCGTCTATTTCTTAGCAAGGTTGCCTTGTTCATATCAAGTTCAAATATATTGCGTTTTCTTCTTGATGTTGGTGTGGATATTGTGTTTTCATATCTATTCTTTGGTTGTTGGGCAATGGGATAAACAGAAGCAGGTGCAACACCCTTCTTATCATGCACTAACTGTTCTGCCATGGCAATGACTTCTTTTTGAATACCAAATGTTGGGTCATGATGTTTATCGTCTTCTTCTTCTTCTTCTTCTTCAGAAATAGAATCGTATCCACCAAGCGTACGATTCGTATGACCAACTGGTGTGCGCATTTTCTTTTCTTCTCCCATACGTTGTACTGCATACGTGATGTCCAATATTTCCTTGATAGATGAGATTCCTGGAGAAAAGACATCTGTACGTTTTGTCGCTTTTGTCGTTCCAGGTTGTGTAAGATCCGTCTGAAACTGGTTCTGTCTCTTTTGTTCTTCTTGAGTAGCTGCTGCCTTGACTGCTGCATTTTGCATAGCTCGTGCTCGTGGATCATTACTTGGCTTGTGCTTGATAGAAGCAGGAATATCTATCTCTTGTGGAGCAGGTGGAGGGAATTGAGATTTAGTGACCCAAGGATGTTTAAAGAAATCGTTGATCGTATAACGTTTTTCAGGATCGACACAGAGTAAGTTGCTGATGAGATCTTTGGCAGCTGGGGAGATAGGATCCCACCAGGGACTCAAGAAAGTATATTCACCCTTGGCCACCTTGTGTGTAAGTGCACGAATTGATTCATCATAGAATGGAGGGAAACCACAAAGGATGGTATAGAGTACACAACCAATGGCCCACATGTCGACTGCTTTTGAATATTTTTGGTCGCGGACGATTTCAGGGGCAGTATAGCCAACGGTACCACAAGGTGTTAATGTTGAATTATCCCAGATGACTTTTGATAAACCAAAGTCAGCAATCTTGACTGTACCAATACCGCCACCTCCGACACCGTCTATAAATTCACCCTCATCTACTTTATCTTCATCACCAAATGGATTCGCGACCTGCTCACGTTGGATCCAAGGAATAGGTTCAAATAAGATATTCTCTGGTTTGATATCACTAATAATAACAATAGTTATAACCCTTGTCTGTCTTTATCTAGTTTTTTTTTCTTTATACCGATGAACTACGCCACATTCTTCATGAAGATAGCGAATACCTTCAGCTACTTGAGTGATGACATGTCTTGCAAGATCTTCACTGAAATACGTCAATTTGACGATACGATGAAACAGTTCTCCTCCTTGGCATAATTCCAAGACCAAAAAGTAATAATCATCTGATTCAGAGAATTGGATGAGTTGAACAATATTCTTGTGCTTGATATTTCGCATGATTTGCACTTCTTTAAGAATATTAGCTCTTTCTGTTGCTTTTGTCTTCTTTTTCATATTTGGATGTAGGTGAGCTTTTCCGTTCTAATAACAGGTTAACATCATATCAGCTTCATCCGAAGTCCAAATACCTCAGATGCATCCAATTCTCTTTTCCTAACTACTTTAATAGCCACTTCTTGATCTGTTACTGTGTCTCTAGCCTTGAATACATATGAAAATGCACCTCTATTATTTTAAATGATTAGATATACAAAAGTATATAATCTATCTTTTTCTTCTTACTCTCCAATCTTTTCTATGATGTCAAATCTTTCTAGTCCAGGATATTGAGGCATAATAGTCTTTCTTTGCTTTTCTTCTTGTACAATACGCGTTGCTACATCCTTATTCTTTTGCTTCTCTTCTTCATCTATTTTCGTTTAATATATTTATTGCGTTATTATCATCTTTATTTACCTCTAGGAAACGTCTTTTTTTGTTTAAACAAATTTTTTATTTGTGAAATCATGACTATTTTTTTACAGATAAAAAAAAAAAGAACGAGAGGGAGGGAGAAACAAGCTTTTTTTTATATAACCTGCTTAAAAATACCACATTATGACGTATGAAAAGCTGTTACACAGAGCTGATGTCATAGGCAGCGTAATATCCATATAAAGAAAGTCTGCATTGAGATACAGTAGGAAAAGATTGTTGGGAAACATGAACCAATGAGAGCAATAGAATTAATGTAAGTTTACATTGCATTTATTGTTCTTGTATAAAAAAATCACCGCCAAGGGTCTGAAAATTGATAGGCACTCACTTCTTCTTCTTCATCGTCTTCTTCGTTATTTATACTAGATAATGGTTTATGTTGCCGTAGATCTATCTCTCTGTTGAGCATAACCCGTTCAGCTGTAGGAGTGCTCACAAGATTTTCCATTGGACTCTGAAAACTACGAGGTGTATGATCATATCGACGGCTAGGTGATTTAGCCATCTTTCGGATCCTAGGCAGTTCTTCTCCTTCTTTCATGTTTCTCAATCTCTTTTGTCTGCCACTAAAAAAATTATAAAACTTTTCTCTCGTCGCAGGATCGTCCTTATCCATGTCTAGTGGATCAAAGATATCTTCTTCCTTTCGTATTGTCGGCCTGGGTTCTTCTTCAGAACTCTCTGTTAGGTCATCTCTTGTTCGTTGTATGTCATAGTCTGTCAATATACTCACTGCTTCTCTTAATGGTGTATTTGTTACCAATGGTGTAAACTGTCTGGTACGAGGCGGGGATACGATCTGATTTCCATATTCATCTACTAATGCTCCTTGACTATTGACAGAATTGGGCGTTGAACGATTATTGCTATCATTATTGTTATTATATGATGCGCCTTCCATGATTTGTTTAGTTGTTATTGTGCTGACAGAAGGTGCGCGTCGATTGCTTCTGTATAATTCAATAGAAGAAGACGACATGCCTTCTTTTGCACTTGTCTCTTGGGTTAACTCCCACTCTGGGTTTGTCTTGTTCCGTTCCTGAGGTGAAAACGGTGGACGATTGGTGCTTGTCGTGTTGTATTGATTGAATGTTTCTTCTACTGTTTTAAAGAAATACATCCATGCCTAGTGCTGACTTTTAGTTTTGAGCTTTTTTTTTTTTAATTGTTTCTTACCTTGCTGCTTTCCCATATATTCGTTGTTGCTATTGCAAATCGCTCCATTTCAGGAATAATCTTTGAAGCAACAAGTTGATTGCATGTTGCAAAGTTTTTGTCAATCTCTTGTAGATTTGAAGTGATTTGTTGTTGAATTCTTTCTAATTCTGCATTTATTTCTTCATCCATGATTTATTTAGATTTTAGATCTAACGAAAAAAGAGAGAAACACACAAAAAATCCGACCAATCAAATACATTTTATTAGTTTCTTTCTCTGAGTCCTATTCTTTCCAGGACATATCTTGGCATACAATAAATAGGATCCACTGGTTTTAGACCAGGATAACCAAGCAAAGAAAGGCCTGCGACACCAAAGACGGTATGAAAGACATCTGTCATATCTCCTGCTCTATCGGCTATTCCTCCTTTCTCAGGGTCTTGTGCCGATAAGATGAATTTGATCAGTTTATCCTTGTCAATCCAGTGAACATTGCCCAATGTAGAGAGTGACGATAAAACCCACCAGGAATAACATACATCCTCAAGTTTTTGGGGTCGTCCATTCAATCCGCCATTCTTCAACTGTCTTTCACATAACCACCAACTTAAAAGATCAGTATCCACATGATGAAGCGCGTCTGCTATTGCCAATGCACTCACACAGCAAAAGATCTGACCCGCATGAGATTCGGATCCAGGTCGACTGCCAAATCCTCCATCATAGTTTTTACACTTCAATATCCATTCTACTGTCTTTTCTACGTTGATCGCATCAAGACGCTTTAATAATGACAAGCAACTGAGTGCAATATATGAAAATCGACTATCGACTTCTCCCCATTCATCGCCTTTGAAGGATCCATCTTCGTTTTGTAATGATTGAATATCTATTTTTTATAAGTCTTTTATAATAACATTATTATTATTAGTATTTACATGTTATCACTTTTTCCACATCAATAGTATCCAAAGCGTCAAGGGTGATTAATACTTGGATAGCAGAGAGTGTGCAGGTCATATGTGGGTCATGATCAGTATGTGCGCAAAAGCCTCCTGTTTGATGCTGAAGACTTGCAACATAGTCAATTACTTCTTGTCTTGGTAAAGCATCAATATGGTTCATCAAGTCAAGTGCTGTCAAACCCCAATAAATGCCATTCAATCGTAAATGTTCAGTAAGCCAATATTCAAGTTCATCTTGACGTTCATTCAACGTCTGGATATATTTCACATGAAGTGGTATCAGTAATTCGTCCGTTGAAGTCATCAAGAAAAAGAAGAAGAAAAAAGACCGCTTTCCTTTTCTTTTTTTTTAAAAAAAATAAAATGTCAAAAGAAGAACGACAACACAAGATTATAAACGTTTTGGAAACTTATTTTAGTGATGCAAGTTTATTATGGGATAAGATCATGGTGAGCAAGATCACTGCTGATCCTGAAGGCTGTTAGTTGAACTTATAAATAAAATACATGCGCGCGTCAATTTTTTTAACATGTATATATACACAGTTGTTTCCTTTGACACATTAAGTAAATTACAAAAGTTTAAAGCAATAGAAGCAACACCAGAAGAGATCAAAGAATGCTCCAAGATACGTTCGCTGAACAAACTAAAGGTAACAAGAAATATACAAGACTGAAACAAGCATTGACTGACTCTCTCTCTCGTTAGTTGAGTGAGGATGAAACGCGTATTGCACGTATTAAACCATTTATACCCAACAAGAAAGAGGAACTGGACGAATGGTCGATCTATGTTGAAGGGCTGACGAAGCCTTATGTTGATGAAGCTTCTATTTCCGAATTATTCACCAAACTGGTCGGACGCGTATCCTTTGTACGTATACCTGAAAACAAGAGAGGATTCAAGCAGTTTCAAGGGTTCTGCTTTGTCGAATTTGATAACAAGGAATGTGTTGATAAGGCTATCAAACTCACAGAGTCTACTGATAATTTTAAGCTCAAGTTGCGCATCATGTCCAAGTAAGCAGATCTTTAGTACTTGTATGATCAGACCATAATATTTGCTTTAGATTCGAATGGAACAAGTACAAGGAAGATTATTTAAAGAGATTTGAGGAAAGAAAGCAATGGATTCAAAGCCTATGGCAAGAGTATAACAATAAACAGCAACAAGAAAATTCTAGCAAGATGGAATTAGACAAGGAAGAGACAACATTCAAAAAGGGTGTGATTGTGTTTGTGGACCATCTTGATCCAAAATGTTCAAAAACAACTGCTATTGAGCTTCTTCAGACATCTGGAGTTTCTATTGCATTCATGACGCCAAAGAAGAAAGGGCTGACATCGGTACATATTCGTCTAGAAAGTCCAGAAGATGCTCAAAGGATGTGTGATTACTTTGAAAACCACCCGACAATACAAGAAAATGAACAGGATAAAGTAGGAAAGGCGAGCAAAGAACATAGCGCAGAGACACTAAAACTAAGAGTTTTAAAAGGTAAATCATATACACACGTATTTGAATATATATCTAATCATGACACACATACACATATTTTATAATAGGTAGGGAAGAGGAAATATATTGGGAAAATGATAGAAAGAAATAAAAGGGGTATTATTCAAACAGATGTTAAAAATAAGTTTTCATAAAACGTTAATCCTCCTGGTCCATCATCACGACAGAGTAATCCCATACGTTCGGTAATGAATAATTGCTCTGAAGCGACAGGTATAGCCAATTTTTCTAATTCTGCTAGTTGTAAAGCCGTGATATGTCCACCTCTTTCTTTGACATGCTTAAGGATGCGATGTGCCGATCGATTATCATCCATTGTGATTGACTCTATTACGGTCAGTCCACTAGAGAATTTGCGTAGTCTAAAGGGTAGTTTTAGACGTTCAAACTCTTGAGCTGCCTTGTAGAGATCCTCAGGTGATATAAGTGCTAACATCATAAGTATTCGTTTTATATATCTTTTTTTGTTTCTTTTTTTTTTTTTTTTCTTTTCTTTACCAACTCCTCTTGCTCGATTAAAAAGACAGTAAATATCTGTCAATGATCTCATATCGTCTTGCTTAAAGAGTTTTCCTAGAAATTCAGCAAGTTCTCTTGCTAGTTCTTGATGGTAAATCGATCCAGCTGAGTTTCTATCATCCCTCTCTGTCAATACGTTCTCCTGGAATTCCTTAAGATATGATTTATAAACTTACTTGGTCACAGGTGAAGAAATACCAAGGTTAAGCAAATGAGTTCGAAGCTCAGATAGTTGATCGGTTGGATCTTTGCTCATTTTAGCTGATATCGATTCTGCAAGCTTGACCATCTCTGTAGCCTTTGACATCAATCGGTCCAAGTCTTGGAACGCATCTATCATCGTTTCATTTGCTTCTAATGTCGACTTTTCAATACGACCTTGGATAGCACCTTTACAAAAAAAAAAGGATTAATATGTCTCTTGTTGGGATAGGATGAATACATACTTATGCCAGCACCACGCGATGTACCAACAGGTAGAGATAATTCTTCTACCTTGTCCCAGCGTTTGTCATTCAGAGCTGCCTTTAGATTGGACAAGAAGCTGGAATGACCACCACGACGAAAAGAAAGTTTGATCTCGGCCGTACCATTCGTTATCTCTTCTTCTCTCTTCAAGTTTGCACCACACATCTCGCACTGGGTCATGCTTGGATGGTTGATAAAGGTGCACACACGACACGTATCTGGATTATTGTTGTCATCCTCTATCACCGAACTAGTAGTTGTAGTACTCGTTGACTGTTTGACACCGCACAGTTCACACTTGATGGCTGATGCCTTGTTTGAGAAGAAACAGATGGGGCAGGCCCAAACACTGGTACTGATAGTGGTTGTATCCTTTTTCTTTTCCTCAAGTTGAATCATGATCTTGGGAGACGAACGCAAGAATCCTCCCTATGAATACATATTTATGTATATATATATATATATGTGAGTTTAATATATAAATTTGACATTAAACTTACATAAACGTCAATATCCTTGACATGTTTTAAGCTTATTTCTATTGAGTGTTCCAAAGGATTAGCATCATCAACGTAAATTATACGGTGAGAAGTTAAATAACATACACCGTCTTGGTAATGTTCTAATTTTATTTTTCTGCTTGCAAATGTTCAATTCTTTCTTTCTCTCTCGTCTTTATAATAGCTTACCCTTCATAAAGCCCTACATGCCCTTGTTGAATCAATAAAGACTCGTTTGGTTTTAGTTCTGGTCGTTTAGAAGAAGACAAGACTGTGGGTTGAAGGTAATTCATTATATTTTTTAGGTATTTATGCGGGCTAAAAAAAAGTCCATTTTTATTTCTTTTTCTCTTTTTATAATTATGAAAGTAAGTTTTTGTGACATGTATGATTATTAAAATAAACACGGTCCATTTTTCTAGTTGATCAACAAAGCAGTCGAAAAGGATTCTTCAGGATTTGTCACATTACTTCCTGAAGAACTGGAAGACATGTGGCATGTGTATAACCTTATATCCAAAGGTGATATGATTAAAGCAACTACGATTCGGTAATAAATGACACAATATATTAAAGCATATTCTTACTTGTTTTACATAGCCGACTGCAGTCCGAGAGTTCGACGGGTTCAAGCACAAGTCAACGTATACGACTGACACTGACTATCACTGTCGAAAACGTCGATTTTGATCCTGTTGTCGGCTTATTGCGTATCAATGGTAGAGTGTCGAGTGAAAATACATTTGTCAAGGTAAGCGAAATAGCAAGTATTAAGTAAGCAGCCGCTAGACCACGCCCCTTTTTTAAAGATGGGTAGTTATCATACCATCGATCTTGAGCTCAATAGAAACTTTACATTGTTCAAACCCGAATGGGACACGATCGCTTTAGAAAGAGTCGATGATGCCTGCGATGTAACGAAACAAGCGGATGTAGCTGCGGTTGTCTGTCAGGAAGGATTAGCCAATCTGTGTTTCTTGACTCAGCATATGACAGTTGTTCGTCAGCGTATAGAGACACCTATCCCCAGAAAACGAAAGGGTTCGGTGGCAAACCATGAAAAGGTAAATGGATAAATGACAAGGAATGAGGAGTGCTTATATTTCATATAAAGGGTTTAGAAAAGTTTTATGAGCAAATATACCAAGCCATTCTTCGACACGTTCACTTTGATATTGTCAAAGCGATCATCATTGCCAGTCCAGGGTTCGTCAAGGTATTGACATATTCATGGTTTTATATATGAAAAACTTATTCTCTTTTAAAAAGGACCAATTGTACAATTACATTTTTGATCAAGCAGTGGTAAGCTTTTGTATAAGCACAAAAAAAGATAAATGTTGAACTATCATTTATAGAAAACCGGTAACAAGACCGTACTAGAAAGTAAATCCAAGTTTATCCTGATCCATTGTTCCAACGGACACAAGCATGCACTAACTGAAATCATGCAAGATCCAACCCTCCAAGTGAAACTGGCAGATACGAAAGCAGCTCGTGAGGTGCAGGCGCTCGACAAGTTTTATGAAATGATGAATATGGATCCTGATAGAGCATTTTATGGATTTGATCATGTTTCCAAGGCCAATGAAAGAGGCGCAGTGGGTACACTGTTAGTGACAGATGAACTCTTTCGGTCTGCAGATATTGATACACGAAAGAAGTATGTGGCGCTAGTGGAGCAAGTTCGTGCACAGAATGGTAATGTCTATGTGTTTTCAAGCATGCATGCGTCAGGAGAACGTAAGTGTTAATAAGAATTATAATATATATATATATATATATATATATAATTAACGCATTCCATACAGAATTGAATCAATTGACAGGAGTGGCGGCCATATTGAATTTCCCTGTGCCTGATATTGACGAAGAAGATGAATGATAGACATAAATCACAATTTGTACAGATTTTATTTCATATTTTAAATATAGTGTAAGAATACGTTTAAACAGTTCTCTTTCTCTATTTCTATAAATTCACTTCATCACCAAATAATGCCGCCGCAGCTTGTGCCACGACAGTTTGGGCAGCCGCTTGAGCAGCAGCATAATTCATGGCCAAGATACCATCGATAGCAGCCAATATGTCTGCCTCCCACCAACCCATCTCATAATCCACTAATCCATACCGCTCTAGCTTATCCGCCCAAGTCACGACCATATCCCGTAAATTATAAAGATGTTGATCTGTCAATCGCTCTGTATCACTACTTGGTTCTTGTCTCTGTGCAAGTGCGTATAACCAGCAATTGTTGAGCCCAGCCCAGAATTGCTCTCGGTCAATAGCGTTATAAGGATGATCGTCGGATGTAAGGCCTATGGATATAAATTGAGTTTTTTTTTGTCTCTACAGCTTGTTGTAAGTGTTCAATAAGAGAGGGGAAGAAGGCTACCTAGCTGTTCACAGTGTTCGACGACAGCAGCAGTCGCTTTGCTTAGTGTCTGAAAGCCGCTTACCATGTTTCTTTGTTCAATGTGATCTAGTGTGCTTTTAAGTTGCTTTTGAATCTCTTCAAACGTCGTAATTGTGCTAATCGTTGATTCAGGAGGTATCAACTCTGTTGCAGTTGTTGTTATTGTAGAAGTATCAGGTGTTGATACTGGTACTTTTGTAGTCACTAAAGTTGTTTGTAATGGTTGTTGCTGTTGTTGTTGTTGTAAGGGTACCATGGGCTGTTCTTGTTGAAGCAACACTGTTGTTTGTTCTTCTGGTTTTATAGGGGTATCATGTTGCTCTTCTTTCTTTACATCTGCAACGACTGGTTCTGCTGTAACCTGTTGTTCACACTGCATTAGCTAATTTAGCTAAGAAGCTAGGGGGGAGCTAGAAGTTTTATTTTATCGGGAAGGTGTCCAATATTTATTACGTGACTGTCATGTGATGGCACTAGTAAAAAGTTGGTTTATTTGTTCCAAGAGAGAATAATAATGACTGTACGTATTTCAAATCACATCAGAAAGAAACCTAAAAACTAATCTCCATTCAAATAGTACCAAACCCTTCATGCTCACAAACCTCAGCTTTAAAACTAAATGACAAAGATATACCCGTCACTTTGGGTCAAAAGTCAACGTCTGAGCTTTAAAAAAGGGAATACGCAGTTTTCTATATTTTTTTATTATTTTTTCCTTTCTTTTCCACAAAATACGTATATATTTGCTTCAATGGCAAGACATCATCCTGATCTGATATTCTGCCGAAAGCAACCTGGTATAGCCATTGGAAGACTATGTGAGAAATGTGATGGTCACTGCGTGATTTGTGACAGGTAACATTTTTTTTTTTAAAAAAAAACAGCTCTTATTCATATTATATAGTTATGTGCGTCCTGCAACATTAGTTCGTATATGTGATGAATGCAACTTTGGCTCATTTCAAGGACGCTGTGTCATTTGTGGAGGACCAGGCGTGTCTGATGCATATTACTGTGTTAATTGTACACGATTAGAAAAAGATCGTGACGGATGTCCCAAGATTATCAACCTTGGTTCTTCAAAAACAGACTTGTTTTATGAACGGAAAAAGTTTGGATTCAAAAAGAGATAATATATGTGTATATTACCGTGCGTGTGTGTGTAAATAAATTGTCAATATATTTGATATACAATGTGCTTTTCTTCTTTGTACCCCTCCTTTGCAGTAAAACAATAGAGATGATATATAATGTTTATTATAGAAACAAGCAAAAAAAGCGAAAGAGGCAAGGGAGGGAAGGAAATGTTGTGTGTGTGTGTGTTTAGAAACAATGTACAATATAAATTATGTAGAATTTGTCAAATCTTAGAATCGCAATACACCTGATGCACCACGGGCACCACCTGCAACCATGCTTGGTTGACTTGGTTGCTGCGGTGCTGTTATCATGCTTGTAGGTTGATATTGAATGGATTGCGATGATGGCATGGATGTTGTACTTGTCGGTACAGGGCCATTTGTCATTCTAGCGCTCAAGTAGGCAGTATTGTTATTAGTTACCACCCCATTCATGGGCCTTGCTATATTAGGTTGAGAGATTAAAGAAGGTATGGTTTTTTGGATAGCGTTGACATGGAAACCATTGGCCTGAGCCACAGGACATTCCTTATGTGCCAACAGTAGTGTTTTCAAATTGACAATCTCTTCCTTCAGGCTCTCAGATTGTAATTGAAGTCTTTCATTGTCACTAGTCAAAAATTCAACCTTGGCTTGCAGATTATTTAACCATTGCTTCTTTCTTTGTCGACACTTTAAAGCGGCTAATATAGTCATTAGTTATTTAAAAAGAAAGAATGAAAAAAAGAAAGTACCTATTCTGTTTCTTTCTAAAAAGTTTTTTCGTTTTTCATCATCTTCAACTGCTTTACTAGAAGATTTCGATCTTGTCTTTTTAGTTCCTGATACATCTTCTTCGTCAGGTTCAGTATCCTTGGTGGATCTTCTTCTGGTGGTCTTCTTTGGAATAGAATCATTACTATCTAACGAATAGTTATCTTCCGAATGCTGTGAAGTCGATCGTTTTCTCTGGCTGACTGTTGATGCTGTAACAGTCGTAGTCGTAGTACGAGCTGGTTGAGGTTGAGGTTGAGGTTGAACAAAGATAGGCTGTGTATTTTCCATTTTTACAGGCTGGTATTCTGTAAACGTTCTATATGGATGATTTATGAGGGTCGCTGTTGAGTTTGATTTTGGCTTCATAGCATAATAAGCATCTGGATTTGCTGGACCCTGAAGCATAGAAGGAGAGAGTGGACCTGTGCGTAAAGAATCCCACGCAAATTGACTAGTGACTTCCTTTGGCAAAATTCCGCCTCCAATGATCGGATTGACAGCCGAGGTCGATATGGGCATGACAGGAGAAGGACTTGTGATAGAAGCAACAGGGGGTAGAGTAAGTTTTGCTTCCTTTTTTTCTTTATCAGATAATTGAGCTCCAGAAAAACTTTGTTCAAATGGATTAGGTTCTTGATCTAATTTGGCAGAAGAGTTGAGTGGTAATACAGCCATAGGTGGGCTATCTATTTTATATAGATGTGTGTTTAATATCTGTTTATAACTTTTCTCTCTCTCTCTCTCTCTTTCTTTCTCTTACTTGGTGCTAATATAGGTTGATCTTCAATTTGAGATTTACTGTCCATGATATTTGATACTTGTTGTTGTTGTTGTTGTCCCGCAGTCATGAATGATAATTAAATACTTTTTATGTATATTAGATACTAATGATATCATAGCTTCTATATAAAATACCTTTCAATCAAACTCCTTAAAACTCAATCTCAATCAGTCTTTTTTATTATATCTCACTTTTCTTTTTTTATCACTTTTTATGAAGAAAGATGTTTTGTATACAGAAAAAAGAAAAAATAGAAGAGAGAAAGAAAAATTGGGAAAAAGGGAAGAAAAAAAAAGTTCAAACTGGCTGGGTAGGAGTTAAAAAGATTACGTCGCTCATAATTACATCATGACTACTATATTTGGATCAGGCCATTAGCTCACGTGTTGAGCCATTATTTTTTTACATGGAGTGTTTAAAGATTAGACCAAGTGAGATGGCGTATAAATAACAAGGTACATTTGTTACACATTTCTTTAATGGTCGATCGCATAAAGATCGCATAAAGATAGGCTTTTATTGGTCATTTACAGCATATATTTGTATACATATATTTACAATGACAGAGAAATTAGTATGCACGGATGCAAGTCAGGTGGTGATCAATACAGGACTTTTTTTTTGTTTTGTTTGACATTTCTCTCGCTAATACTTTGTCTCTCTCTTTCTTTCTTTTTTTCGTTTCTTTCTCTCTCTTTTAAATCCAGTTAACTCCAGGAACTAGAGACAAGGTCTTTTTGAACATAGTCATCAAAGGTGACATTAGAGATACCAAAGACAGTAGAGCTTCTTCTTCTCTTTTGAGATGCAATAGGTATAGGCTCTGTGGTGTTTTGAGAAGTAAATCTAGTCAACAAACTATCACACTCTTCAGTCACTGACGGTCTTCTTTCGTAATCACTGATGGATGCCTCCTGAGGCTGTTGCTGTGATGACTGCTTGGTAGATTGGTGACGTGTCAATGGTTTTGTAATGTTATCACGAATTGCATTAAGAACTCTTGTAAACATTTTTTAAAAAAGAAAAAAAGAAAGAGAAAAAACAAAAGAGAAGATAGTCTTTTTATAATCCATATTTTCTTCTGCATAATCTTTAGGAACAAATGAAAGCATTTTTGCCTTAAAAGTTAATTCTGAAAAAAGGTTAATCTTTTTTATTGATTGGTTAAATAGTGTTGATTGGCTAATTTTATTTAATCTATTGACATGTCCATCGTACTATTATCAATATTAAACTCTTGTCCCCAGCTGTTCACAACAGATGCTTCAATATGACTTTGCTTAGTAGAAGGTGGAACACTATAAAAGGGTATCTTTCCACTATTCCAGTCATTCAGGACGTGTTTTGCTGCTTGTTCAACATCCGGAATACCGCCCTAGGGAAACGTTAAGTCTTATTCAAGTATATATACAAATATGTCTTACCTTTTTTAATTTGCCTCTTTGCTGTGCTAATAAAACCAAGAATTCATGAACATTACTAAAGAATGACAGACTATATGTCTTTCTTAGTTGCTCAATACCACATTTATTCAAGATAACTTCCACTACAGATAATGTTAATCAATGATTATATTCATGCAACCTAACCTTACCTGGTGTCACGGGGTCTTCAAGCAACTCAACCTTGACACAGTTTCTCAGTGTAATCTCGGCATCATTCTGGTCACCTTGTTGTGCAAATACGATACCGGGACAGTCAAGCAATTTGATATTTTTGTCTAGACTGATTTCTTGTGCAACTTTTGTAAATCCTGGCGTAGCGCCTACACCACAGACTCTAGATCGTTTCAACGAATTGATGACTGATGACTTGCCTACATTAGGATAGCCAATGATGCCCACAGTGATTGATGTCTTTAGATTCAAATTACGACAATAGTTCTTGAGTAGCCGAATCAAATCATCTGCACCTAAACACTCTGATGTATTTAATAAACTTTCACTGGCTGCACTCGTTGATACATTTGATTGTTTCAACTTGTCACGTTGATGTTGAGTAGATGCCTTGAAGGCAACAGCGGGATATTCGTTACGCAAATACTTTAGCCATTGATCAGCATTTTCCTTGGGTACCAAATCTACAGCCACATTAATAATCGTTATTACTCTCTTTTCCCCTTTTTTTATATATACCAATCTTGTTGAGCACAAGCACAATTCTTTTATTGAGCCCACTATCCATAATCATTCTTTCGACACTACGTGTACGTGTGCCTAGAGGATCACGAGCGTCTAATACTTCCAAGATGACATCTGCGTTTTCAATCACCTTTCTAAACTCTCGATAATAGGCCTTTCTTGAATTATCCTTTTGTCCTGTAGCTGCGGCATCCTTTACTTCCTTGTCATCTTCTTCAAATGTTTGTGCATCAAACTGCTGTGTTCTTTGTTCCGCAGTTTGAAGCATGTTGTAAAAGCTAAGATTTCTGTTTTTATTCTGTAAATCATGTCTGGCTGCATCCTGTCGATCCTTGTTGTCAGCAATCTGACGGTGATTAGTCCCTTTTTTTATAAATAACAAATTTACCTTTTTCTTTTGAGCTTCTTCTTTGTTTTTTTGCTTTTGTTTAAACTGCGCCAGCTTGGGTACTCCAGGATCTTTCTTGAGTTCTATAAGTATATTGTTATAAACTTTTTCATATAAGATTCTCTTTCTTTTCTTTACTTGATCCATTCAAGCGATCCGCATTTCTGTTTTTCTTTTGTTCTACTCAATCGTTATACAGGCTTTTCTTTTAGAAATCAAACAATACATACTGATGCTTCCCATATTACTGTTATAGATTAAAGACACTGTATCTATAAAAAAAAAAAAAAAAGAAAAGAAAATCACTTTGACCAGCAGTCACATTTATTGTGACAGCTGAAATAGATCAAACATGCTTTATTTCTATTGAATGTAATGTGCAAATGCGTTTTTTTATGCTTTATGAAAGAGGAGGAGAGGAGGAAATAGCCATTATTTCACAAGTGCACGTCTTGCCTTGACTGATTTAGCCAAGTCATCCAACATTTGTTCGGTTGTTTCAAAGTTAACACAAGCGTCTGTAATGGAGACACCATACTTCAAAGCAGAAGGACCAGCCTCAGGTACGCTCTGCTTACCTTCATTGATATTTGATTCAATCATGACGCCCACAAGAGAAGCTTCTCCTTCAGCGATTTGTTCACCCAAGTTCTGACAGACCTTGGGCTGGTTTCTATGATCCTTGCTTGAGTTTCCATGAGAGCAATCGATCATGATGTTGGGACGTAAACCGGCTTTTTCGAGTGCAGCACGCGCCTTTTGAACGTGCTCCTTTGAATAATTGGGGCCATCATTTGAGCCACGAAGAATGACATGGCAGTCAGGATTACCAGTAGTGTGAGTCACACTGACCGTACCGTTCTTGGTGACACCCAAGAAGTGGTGTGGAGCAGAAGCGGATCCGATACCATCAATGGCCACACGGACATTGCCGTCCGTACCATTCTTGAATCCAACGGGGAAAGAGACACCACTGGCTAATTCTCGATGAAGTTGGGATTCAGTTGTACGTGCGCCAATGGCTCCCCAGGACATCAGATCAGCAAGGTATTGAGGAGAGATGGTGTCAAGAAGCTCGACAGCGACTGGCATACCCATATCTGTTAGTTCACAGAGTAGCTTACGGCCCACGCGAAGCCCTTTGTTAATGTTGTAACTTTTTTTTTTTTGAAAATGAGTGATTTGAAACATATTAAGAATGATATGATTTACCTATTGTCGATATCAGGGTCATTAATCAATCCTTTCCAGCCCACAGTCGTTCTTGGCTTTTCGAAATAGGCACGCATGATGATCAAGAGTTCGCCTTGATGCTTCTCCTTGACCTTTAATAATCGTTGACCTAATATCATTTAGATATGAATAAAACTTTCCGATTTCAACTTACAATAATCTTTGGCAGCTTCCGTGTCATGAATGGAACAGGGTCCAACAATGACAATCAAACGATCATCTTTGCCTTGTAAGATATTTGAGCATTCTTCACGGGCTTTTTTGACAGTAGTTTGTGAGTTGTCGGTCTATTGAATGTTAGTCTTTATACTATGACATGTATCATAACTAACCGCAGGAAACTCTTCTTGCAGGAAGGCAGGTGTAAGCAAAGCGTTGTAGCCAGTAATACGCAGATCTTCCATGATTGGATTATTCAAAGAAGAGAAAAGAAAAAAAGAAAATAGGAAATTGGTTCCCTTCTTTTAAAAGCAGTCAATTTTTTTTTTTTCAGTGTCAATGAGTCATGCAAACTCATTATGTAATTCGGCGCTTAGAGTCTGATCTTTTTAGCACATGTCAATCGAAAAGTGTAACCAAGTTGTCAGAATAACAAATAGTACATGATTTCAACCGTCACTTTGGAAATACCTTGGAATGTTCCATTCTTTTTTTTTGTTTTGCTTTGTTAAATAAACAGTTGATATTATCCTTACATTAGCTTGTACGCCCACGTATATCTTTTCATATAAATGAAGACAGGGGAATATCCTACATCTTTTTGTCTCAATAATAATAATAAAAATATAAAATTCCTACAAGGAACCAAATACACGTCTTTTCGCCCAAAATAAAAAATAAAAAATAAAAAATAAAGGGCAGCCATAAAACAATTTTACCAGTTTTTCATATAAATCAAGAGAAGCAGTAGAATCTAGTTTATCTCTTTCCTCTTTATTTTTTATTTTGCTTCTTTTCTCATGACGTCCAATAAAGGTAGAAGAGGAAGACCCAAAAGAACGAATGGAACCATACAGGAACCAATATCAACAACAACAACAACAACAACAACAACAACAACAATAGCAACAAATGATCCATTACCAACCACAGCAGTACAAGCCAGATTTCCTGACTTGGACATTAAGCAACCATTGACAATTAAAGAACCAGAAGACATTCACGAAGAAGAACCACATTCGCCCATCTTTGTTACTCCTCCACGTACATTTGAAGATGATTTCGAAGAGCAAGAAGAAACAGCAGTAGATAAAGAAAATCCTAATGAGCAACAACAAAAAAAGGATCACAGCATACAAGAAATAGATTATACTCGCCTACCCCAAGTTCACTTTACGATTTCTGAATTAGACGAAGCTCATGAACATGGCGACCCATTGATTTCCTGGACTTATCAACGACCAAACCACTACATTCATTACAGTGAGCCTTCAGAACTAGAACTCTTTGATACGGTTGAATACGACATGGACGAGGTCGACAAGGTCTGGCTCGACTTGTATAATCAAGAAAAGAGAAAAGAACATAAAATGGACATTTCGTCGTACATGTTTGAATCCATCATGGACAGACTCGAAAAAGAATGGTTCAACCTTATCAAGACGATCCCAAAGCCTGTTGTGGAAGATGTCGTTCTTCCTGAAGATTCAGCCTGTGCCGTGTGTGACGATACAGAAGTGGAAAATAGCAACGCTATCGTCTTTTGCGACGGCTGTAACGTGGCCGTTCATCAAGACTGCTACGGTATTCCTTATATTCCAGAAGGTCAGTGGCTCTGTCGCAAGTGCCAGATCTCGCCTGATGCTCCTGTCTCTTGTATATTTTGTCCAAACCAAGGTGGTGCCTTCAAGCAGACTACGGACGGACAGTGGGCTCATTTGCTATGTGCGATATGGATACCTGAAGCCAGGCTGAAAAACACAGTCTATATGGAGCCAATAGATTACTCAGACATACCCAAGAGTCGATGGAGGCTAACCTGCATTCTCTGTCGAAAGCGTGGACCTTGTATTCAATGCAGTCGAAAGCAATGTTATTCTGCCTTTCACGTCACTTGCGCCAAGGCGGCAGGGCTGTCGATGAAGATGAAGCTGCAGACAGCAGAGCATGAAGGCATTGTCTTGGTCGCGTATTGCGATAAGCATACATTGAAGGAGACTGAGGAAAATCCAAGCGATGATGATGAATATGTCGAAAATCAAATTGTCGCGACCGTTCAGCGCGGACGAGGAAGAGGTCGTGGTCGTGGTAGAGGTCGGCCCAGTGGAAGGACATCAGCACGATCATCTCTGGATGGTATAATCACTAAAGCCAACCGAGTCCATCAGCATCATTACTTTACAGGAGCACCCATACCACCTGACATGATTTTGTCCAGAATTGACATGATTCCTTGTCTCTTGACTTCACCTATACGAAAAAAGAGCCAGCTTGTCACAGCCATCGCTCATTACTGGTCGTTGAAAAGAGAAGCCAGACGTGGTGCACCATTGCTAAAACGATTACAGCTTGAGGTAAAGAAAGAGTGTATTTTAAGGTCGATTTATCATTCACATTTTATTCTCATTAGCCTTGGTCTCCTTCAAATATTACTTCTCGAGTCATAGACGAAGATACAATTGCGGCCAAGATATCAGTAAGTTTATACTTTGTTTTTTGCTCTAAATGACATTCATGTTTTGTTTTTTGTATAGTTCATTAATGAGTTACGAGCCAATTTGGATAAAGCACGTATGCTGACCGAACAAGTCCAGAGACGCGAACGATTAAAACTCGAACGCACCAAGCGACAGAAAGAGTATCTTGACATGATTCTCTATCCTATCGAGCACCTTGCCCGTCCTATCCTAGGTCAACTCATAGAGATTGATGCCAATGACTTTTTTATGAATCCTGTTACGTCTGAAGAGGCACCTGATTATGCATCTATCATCGATAAGCCCATGTATTTTTCCAAAATTCAAAGCAAGCTGGATGCGCACGAGTACACACGTCTGGATGAATTCAAGGCCGACGTTGAATTGATTTGGGAGAATTGTATGACATACAACACGCCCAGTAGTAAATACTATCGCGTCGCTTGTAAATTGAAAAAAACTGCAAATGAACTCTTTGAAGTGGCCGACAAGAAGATGGAAACGTACGATTTGGATAATGGTATCTTGAATGCACCTATAGATGAATCTATATTTGATTATGAAGCAGGCGATGAATCTGAGATCCGAATGGAAGGAACATTGGCTGACATATCAGCTACTGTACCGGTCAGATTGAGAGAAAAACCGCAGTTACCCATGATAACAACAACATCAACAAAGGAACTAGGAGATATGGCAAGAAAGGTGCCTTCCCGCAGGTCAGGAAGGGGACGCACAAAGAACGTTGAGACTGAGAACTACACTATACGTGAGTTTATGACATCGGACGAAACAGACATCGTCCGCCCTACAGTACCTTCACAGGGCTTTGACAAGGGTGCCCAGACAGACATGTACCTTTTGTTGCCATTATTGAAGCAGTTCCAGTCAGCTGAGGAATTACAGAAACTAGAAGCTCAGATGGACGAAGACAGAAACAAACAAGGCACAGCGCCAGAAGTAGAGCTTAGTGTGCCTACGGTAGCTGAAGCTGAACCTGCTGCAATTGTAAAGGCTCAGAACGTCCCATCCATGCCTCAAGAGGATAAGAAAGAAGACACTATGGCAGATAATCCTTCCGTGCAGGATATTACTGAAGGTGAAGAACAACAGACACCTCAAGATATCATTAAAGATAAACCAGCAGAGTCTGCGTTGGAGGTCATTGATGTGATAGGAACCGATATACCCGACCATCCTCAACAAGCACACAAAGAATTAGAAGATAGGTCCATAAGCAAACCAGCTGAGACACATACTATGCATAAACACCCAACTGATTCAACATCCTCTCTGCATCACCAACAACAACAGCAACAAGACCAACAACAACAAAATCAAAACAAAAAAAGGCCTCGCAGGAGCTTATCTACAGCAGTACCTGTTCGAGCGACTCGTAGCCGCGGTCTGGAATCAACAGTTGAAGAGCTCAAGAACAGAAAACGAATGTCTCATGAAGCACGTGAACTATTCGCCTCTGTGCTGCATCTAGAGAAGCAAGTTGAAAAAGTCAAGCCATATAGTTCCAAACCTGCAGCCGTTGGTTGGGCCTATCTAGAAAGTGACGATGAAGAGGGCCATAAATCAGGTGAAGAGCAAGTTGAAGAAACAATAAAGCCAATAAAGAAACCATCAAAGAAACGCAAAATTGAGCCAGTTTCGCTTGATGAATTTGAGCGAGGTCAAATCGTTTGGGCTCGTGTCAGTGGTTATCCTTCACATCCTGCCAAGGTAAGGAAAAAAAAATAAGGAAGGCTTATGAATTAACATCCATGTTAGCTTTGGAAAGTGCCAGACAAAGGGTCAAAATTGGTTATTCCCAAGACAACCTCCAATGTTTTGGTCGAGTTTCTTCAAGTACCTCCAAACCATAAATGGTAAAAAAAAAAGACACGATCTTATAAAAAAAGACTCACTGGAACCATAGGGGCTGGATTCATCCAAAGGATATTGCAAGATTTGGTGATACTGAAACAGATAAAATCAAGTTGGCTGAATGTCTAAGGATTAAAGCATCCAATCGAACGGTTAGAATGCAAGAAGCCAAAGACGGATACCTGTGTGCTTGTTCAGAATTAGGTAAAGAAGATGGGCAAGCTGTTCTTGACAGCGTCTTTAATGAAGCCAACCTTACATCACATCATAAAAAGAAGGGCAAAGCATAGCATTCATTTATCACATATACACAAATATACCTTCTATATCACACTGACAAACACACACACAAAAACACATATATAAACAAATGTATATGTTATTGTTATTGTACAAGATTTTTTCCTCCCTTTTCCTCATTTTATAATAAAGTAGTATATTCATGTCAATCTAGAGTTACTTGATCTCTTGATTTTTTTATCTTCTGTCTTTTCTTCTGCAAGCTTCTTCATGATGGTTAGTTTACCAACAGCATTAGCCTTGACTGACATTTGTCGTTCAATACTTCTGTTGATCTGTGCTGTCAATTTCTATCAAAGCAAACAAGTCAATATTCTCTTCTCTCACTGTATCTGTGTTTTGCTTTACCTTATCCAATGCTCTCTTTTGAACTAAAGCTGGTTGCTTTGGAGCAATCTTTCTTGCTAATGATGATAAGTCTCCTTTCCAATAGTCACGTAATGTATCCTTACCTCCTTTCTTCACTACACCTTTCTTCTCTTTGCCTCCCTTTGACTTGTTGTTTTTCTTTAATTTTAGTGATCCCTGTGCCATAACTGAAAAATTAAAGATAAAAGAGCGACAAAAGGAGAGAGAGCCGATTCATGCTTCATCTTTACTTCTCAGCCACTGTGGGATAAGCCACTCATTGGCCCTCTCTCTGTCTCTTCTGAGTTACCCTTCAAAATTTTCTTTTCTTTTTTTTCTTTTCCCTTTATTTCAGCATAAAAAAAAAATATATACAACAATGGCATTTGAATCTCGAGGTGGAGGACGTGGTGGCCGTGGTGGTAGCCGTGGTGGTCGTGGCGGATTTGGTGGTGATCGTGGCGGCCGTGGTGGTGGCCGTGGTGGTGGAAGAGGTGGATTTGGTAAATTCAATTATTATTATGAAAACTTAAAACTAAAACTTTCTTTGTCTTGTAGGTGGCCGCGGCGGCGGAAGAGGCGGTGCTCGTGGAGGCGGTGCCAGAGGTGGCCCCCGTGGTGGTGGAAGAGGTGCTGCCCGTGGCGGCCGTGGTGGTGCCAGAGGTGGTGCTAAAGGAGGTGCCAAGGTTATCATTGAACCTCACAGACATGCTGGTATCTTCGTTGCCCGTGGAAAGGAAGATCTTTTAGTTACCAAGAACCTTGTTCCCGGTGAATCTGTTTATGGTGAAAAGCGTATCTCTGTTGATGGACCTGATGGCACAAAGATCGAATACCGTGTATGGAATCCCTTCAGATCTAAGCTTGCTGCTGCCGTCCTTGGTGGTGTTGACCATGTTCACATTGCTCCTGGCAAGAAGGTTCTTTATCTCGGTGCTGCCTCTGGTACTTCCGTTTCCCATGTTGCTGACATCGTTGGTCCTGAAGGTGCTGTATATGCTGTCGAATTCTCTCATAGACCCGGCCGTGATTTGATCAATATGGCAAAGAAGAGAACTAATGTTGTTCCTATCATCGAAGATGCTCGTCACCCTCAAAAATACCGTATGCTTGTCCCTATGGTCGATGTTATCTTTGCTGATGTTGCACAGCCTGATCAAGCCCGTATTATCGCATTGAACGCTCACAACTTTTTGAAGAATGATGGACACATTGTTATTTCTATCAAGGCTTCTTGTATTGATTCTACAGTCGATGCTGCCACTGTCTTTGCCCGTGAAGTCAAGAAGCTTCAAGAAGAAAGAATTAAGCCTCAAGAACAACTTACACTTGAACCTTACGAAAGAGATCACGCCGTTGTTGTCGGTAAATACGTTCGCTTCAAGTAAACCAGTGCAGCATTGTTTTTTCTTTTTATTACATGTATAATCTTCATATATCTTAACATTTTTTTAAAAAAAAAAGCTTACAAAAATAGATTCTTTTGTGTAAATAAATGAAGAAAGAGAGAGATGGTCTTTGTCTTCATTACCCTTTTTTTTTCCCCCTTCTCTTTTGTGATAATCAACGTATAAAATTTGATTTCCCGCTTACTTTATTGAATCGTTACATGTTCCTTTCTTTTTCTATTTCTTTCTTTTCTCGTTTATTTAATGGAGATCAATAAAGAAGAAGCTATTCGTTGTTTGAGGATTGCAAAAAATCATTATGGCAACAAAAATTACGATGCAGCTGTTCGCTTAACCCAAAAGTCAATTAAACTTTATCCAACAGAAGAAGCTAAAGAATTCCTAGTAAAAGCTGAACAAGCAGCAGCCAAAGCAGGGCCAGAAGAAATAAAGAAAGAAACCAAGTCAACATCATCAGCGCAATCGTCTTCTTCTTCTTCATCAACACAACAACAGTCTCAAGAAGTGAAAGAAATATTGGCCTGTGGTACGGATTACTATAAAGTATTGAAATTGAATAGAAACTGTACAGAAGTTGAAATCAAAAAAGCATATAGAAAAGTAAGTTGTGTATAATACAAAGCTTATTATAACTAACATTATACATTAGCTCGCTCTTAAATTCCATCCAGATAAAAACAAGACTCCTGGAGCCGATGAGGCGTTTAAATGTAAGTTCATTAGACATGGAAAAACGTTGTGTATTAAACCATAATAGTGATTTCAAAGGCATTTACTGTCCTAAGTGATCCTCAAAAACGAGCTGTACATGATGCTGGAGGAGGCGATCCAGAACAACGAGGTAATGGAGGATTCTCGGGCTTCCGAACACAAACATACGGTGCCTCCCCATTTGGCGATGAGATATCTCCTGAAGATTTATTCAACATGTTCTTTGGAGGTGGTATGGGAGGCAGAGCATACACCTTTGGTGGTCCAACTGGATTCAGCAGCGCAACCTTTGTCGGCCCAGGATTCCGTGCGAGAACGTTTAATACCGCAGGCGGTCCCTATCAACGTGCAAGATCACATCAACCAGAACAACAGCAACGAACAGGTTGGTCTATCTTTTTGCAGCTGTTGCCACTGTTGCTCTTATTTGGATACACCCTCTTTTCTGGTCTCTTTGTAGACGACACGCCTAGTTTTGCATTTCAATCCAACTCGGTCTATTCTCAACCACGTATGACAACCAGAAATCATGTTCGTTATTTTGTGAACCCGGCGGCATTCAGACCATACCAAGACAATAGAAACAAGCTCTATCAATTTGAATATCAAGTGGAAAAGGATTGGCTGCAGTCATTACAGCAAAAGTGCTTTATGGAACGTAAGCATCGACAAATGCTTCTTGATAAATCAAAAGGAACATTTGGATTTATAAATCGAGATGAAAAGCTTTACCAAGAAGCATTAAATATGCAGCTCGACAGTTGTGAAGCGGTTAAACGATTTCGTACTTATTAAAAATACAACAATAGAATAAACAAAAAGAAAAGAGGGAATAAAAAAGAACTTGATATGTTGTATGTTTATGTAGGGCAATGTGTGTATGTTTGTAAAATGGGGAAAAAAAGAGAAGAAAGGGGTATATTTATGAACTTATTATATCATGACTAGCTCTAAGGTCCATGTACGCCTTGCCCATAGTCTGATGGGTTGATTATCAATATGAACCGTATTTCCGTCCCACCAACACTTTCGCTATTAAAATAAGTGTCAATGATTTACCAAAATTCATGCAAAAAAACAAAACTTACTGCAGGCTTCCTCCAAAAAAGCAATAGCTTCTGTGCTGTGTTATCCAACTGATGCGCGTGATCTGTGCCAGATGACTTTAAGGCAACCAAGCTCATACTATTGATACATGTCCTATTAGGCTCTAATTCACGATGACCCCATCGGTCTTCTCTTGAAAAGCCTGCATGACAGAGCATATCAATCAAATGTTGTTCGGCTACATTATTTGCTCTTGCAATATTCTTTTGTAACGCAGCAAACACTAGATTCTCGTTCTTGAGGTATTCACCTGCAGCCAATTTCAGTTTGATTGGGTCCTTTTTGTCCTGATGAATGCAGTAATACTCAAGCTCTTCTCTTAGAACAATAACGGGTACTTTATCTAGAATAGATGGATAATACTGAGCTGCTTGGCTAAAGGCAAAGAGTGACTCTTCTGGTTCCATTTTTTTTTCTTTTAATGTCCTTTTGTAGAAATCGAGGACATATTCTAGACATTTAGGGTCAAAATCGACATGGGTTGTTAACAATTCCTCACTGTTAGCATCACTTGATTGAAACTCTGAGTCGTCATATTCGTCTTCTTCTTCGCTGTCATAAGACTGTTTACCCAAAACGAGACCATTAGGAAACATGGCGATGAGTAAGCTTTCCGGTAAGCTGACTAGCGTTTCTTTATCTAACTTCATACGGATGCCGCGCAAGTCCAAGTAAAGTGTTTGAGGGATAGTGTCTGGGGTATTTTCATATGCAGTATCCAAGTCGTCATATTGTTGCACTTGATAAATAAGAGTGTCTTGGGTACTAATATTACTATTATTTGCAGACATTGTTTAGAAAGAGGGAAAGAAAGAAAGAAAGAGAAAAGGGAGAAAGTAAGAGAGAAAAAAGAATTAAAAGTACGCTTTCTACAATCTGATCCCAAACTCTCCTTTTTGTTGTTGTTGTCGTTAGAGGCATAAATAGCAAAGACATTCACATAGAGAAAATAGTCAAAGAAAGGCAGGTTTCCTCCTTAAAAAATGCTTAGGAGTTATGAGATATGCTTCCACTCCCCTCTTTTATCCCCTTTAATCTTTTTTCGATCTCTAGTAAAGTGTTGTTTTTTTTTACACACACAATTTTATTTCACACAAAATGGTTATTTAAGCAGAAGCAGATTTCTGCATAGAAGAAGTGCGACGGCGTTCAATCTTCTTTTCCTTGGCTTCCTTAACACGCTTGGCAAGCAATTGCTTGTATTCAGCTTCGGCTTCACGAGAAGCTTCGGTTCTTCTGCGCTTAATGGCTTGTCTACGTCTCTTGTGTTGAAGAGTACGGGGAGTGACAAGACGTTGGATCTTGGGGGCCTTGGTGTAAGCCTTCTTGCCTTCAGCCTTGGGTTGGACTTCACGGCGGATGACATACTTGCGAACATCGTCTTCCTTGGACAAGTTCTATTACTAAAGTAAGTATAGTGATTCATTTAACAACATAATAACACGTACGAAGAACTTTCTAATCTTGGAAGCACGCTTGGGACCAAGACGCTTGGGAACGGTAGTGTCGGTCAAACCGGGAATATCTTGTTCACCTTGCTTGACGACGACAAGAGACAAGACAGAAAGATCAGGGCCGACGATACAACCACGGACAGACTTTCTCTTGCGTTCACCAGTACGGCGAGGACGGTAGCAAGAGTGGCCCTTGGACATCAAGAGCTTGACACGGTGGGGTAAGAGAACACCTTGCTTCATGGGGAAACCTTGCTTGTCGTTACCACCAGTGATACGGAAAACATAACCCTTGAACTCGTCACCGAGAGCGTCGCCAGAGACTTCTTGAGCCATACGCTTGTCATAGAAGCCACGACTATAGATAAGGTTAGTTGATGCTCATGATCATTCTTTAAAACTTACAGTCTACGTTCGTCTTCAATTTCAATCAACTTTTGGCAGCCGGTGGCTGGGTTAGCGATGTTCAACTATAAAAAAAAAAAGATAAGTCAAAGTGTTCTAATTGAAACAAGAGAGGGGATAAATAGCAAAAGGAAAGAACAGAAGGAAGGAGTTTATGTGTGTGTGTGCGTGTTCATGCTTGAAGGAGAGAGAGAATGTAATTGAATTTGTTGACAGCAGTCGTTCTCTTTCTCTCTTACATATTTTTTCTCTCGTTTTCAATCTTTATAAATACATCTTATTTCTTTAATCCATCTTTTAATCCAACTCATCCATCCTATTCCTTCTTTGTTTCCCTCCTTTTACTATCCATCATCCACTTGATGTTGCTTACTTTCATGTTGGAAGAGAAGGAAATATTGCCCTTGGGCAGCCCATCATGCTTCAAATGGACGGGCGTCTCAAGTGCGCACACACGCGCACCCCTCTCGTAGCCCAGCTCTCGGAAACATTAGTGCGGCAAAAATGAAGTCACAATATATGGGCGGATGTTTAAATTTTTGAAGAGGGGGAGAGCAATACCTAGAGGCGTTATCAAGATTAACAAGATGTGCACTGCTGTGGGGTACTTTTGATAATTCTCGACAGTAATAGTAAAAAATATGCTCCAAAATGAATAGTCATATGTATATCCTCTCTTCAGAATTAATAAGCAGAAATAGAGACCAAAAAAAAAGAGGTGACTTCTTATGATCGTAGTGAGCATACAAACAACACTGATAATAGGAAAAATAGTTTTTCCTAGACTGTTTTAACATGAAAAAGGACATTTGAAGGAAGAGGAGGTAGAGTAAAAAGATTCTCCAAGTAAAGACCATATAATACATATATGCACACATAATAATAATTAGGTGGACCAAGTTAAAAGAGCGCGTGAATTCACATGGATTTGTTTCCTCGATCTTGATGGATTGTCAATTTCTATGTATAAGCTTACGTTAACATAATTCTTTTCTTTTCCCTCTCTCTTTCTTTTTTCCTGTTTCACTATGTCATCGGCCTATCAAGTATCTACCATTGGCACAGAGTACACCTCCTCACATAGAGTCTATATTGGTAAGCTACCTTCACAAACAGCAAAAGAAGACCCCACTAAGATACAAGTAGAACATAACAGACAAGTCATTTCGCCTTTTCACGATATTCCACTTTATGCTGACAGTGAAAAAAAGATTGTCAACATGATTGTTGAAATCCCTCGATGGTCTAATGCCAAATACGAGGTAGATCTATATATTATATATATATACTTTGTAGCTAATCGTGATTGTGTGTGTACGCTTGTAGATTGCTACAGGTGAGAAATACAATCCTATCAAGCAAGACGTGAAAAAGGGCAAGGTACGATTCGTTCGAAACTGTTTCCCTTACAAAGGTTATATTTGGAACTATGGTGCTCTACCCCAAGTAAAAGATAACATAGGAATAATCTGTGAATAATATTAATGTAGACCTACTATAGACTTGGGAAGATCCAACTGTGATTTCAAAAGACACTAATGCTCGTGGAGATAACGATCCGATCGACGTATGTGAGATTGGACAAGAGATTGGATACAGAGGACAGGTCAAACAAGTCAAGATTCTTGGCGTCATGGCCTTACTCGATGAAGGAGAAACGGATTGGAAGTTGATAGCTATTGATATCAATGATCCACTGGCAGATAAAGTCAATGGTATACGTTTATAATCTTTATCTTTGTTTGGGTATAAATTAATCCTCGTATAGATATCCATGATGTAGAAAAGTACTTTCCTCAATTGATTGATGCCACACGCCATTGGTTCAAGATCTACAAGATGCCTGATGGGAAACCAGCGAATCAGTTTGCATTTAATGGTCAGTGCAAAGACAAGGTAATGCTATCTGTCGATTGATGTGACATTAACTCACCAATGGTAGACTTATGCAGAGGCAGTTGTAAAGGAAACACATGAAGCATGGAAGCGGTTGATCGAAGGAAGAACTCCTTGTAAAGCAAATACGCACGACATTAGCATGTAAGTAAATGGAATTCGTGAGATAAGCATCCTAATTTTTATTTTTAAGGGCAAACTTTACAAACAAACATTCACCTTATGTTTTGAATACATTTAATGATCAGGAATTACAAAAAGTAAGTAAAAGGGCAAACCTATGCTTTCTTACTAAAACCCTATTTAGGTCTTGGTTAAACAAAAGAATAAGAAAGATATTGAAGCCAAAGATAACAAATGGTATTTCTTAAAGTCGCAGCTTTAAAAATCGTTTTCTTTGCACACACACATATAAATAGATAACAGTTATGCATCCTGTATTTTGTCATTTATTTTCATTACAAGTCAAGGGAAAAATAGTTTTTGCAAATTGATAAAAAAAAAAGGGGAAAGAAAGAATTTACTAAAGTTACTGCTTCATGCCTCTAATGAATCATTTTGTCACAAGCATAAAAGACAAGCAAAATCGGAAGTTTAAACATTAAGCGTGCTTGCAGGTCCTAATTTGGCTTCTTGTACCTCCACAGATTTATTTGAAATATTTGGTTTCTCCTTCTTTTTCTTGTATTCTTTGTTCTTCTACTCTTTTATTCTTCTTTTTTTTTTATCCACTCCTTTCCTTTTAGGCGCCCTCTGCTGATTTTGAGTGCGTCATACCAACGATTGCTGCAGTAGTCATAGCAACTGAGTCAGTATCACAAAGAAAGAAAAATAGAGAAAGTTGCAAGAGCCAAAAAAAAATAACGCCCAGTTGATCCGATTGTATAAAAATATCCCTTTTTATTTTTCCCAGCCTTTTTTTCTTTTTTTTCTTTCCCTTCAACTTTTATTATTATTTTTTTTTTCAATCAACCCATTCCCTTCCTTTAAACGACTTAAAATGAGCTTAAATACAGTGATCACACTTGCCCTTTTGTTAAAAAAGGTAATAGAATTAATCGCCAATACAACATAAAAATAAACTTTATATAGATGACTCAAAAGACGGCTACCAAAAAGAGCTTTCGAACAAAAAAATCCAATTGCCCTGATACGCAGTCATCATCTTCTTGTTCATTACCAAGTAGTCCTATCAGCAATCACCATACAACTAGTAATAGTAGTAGTGATGATGATGATGATGAAGAAGAAGAAATGGAAAGAAGATTAGACAAGACGTCTACTATTCAACCATCTACATTGAAAACTACTTTAGAAGGCATGATGAGTACAACTACCATCAAAGAAGATTCTGAAGTTGTGGTCAATGTGACAGATAAAGAAGTAAATAAAATGACACTGTCCTTGCTTTCCCCCCCTATTTAACGTTTCAACTCTGTGTGTTTTTTAGGTATCAGCTGGTAAATACAACAACAAGAGAAAACAATAATTCAATTAGATAACACATTAAACTAGGTTCTGCAACTGTGATCATACGTGATTTCGCTTATCCTAAAGATTCACCACTCCACTTTGGAAATCCTTTGCCCAACAATCAATCGACGATCTCATTATCTTCCCCAGATTTTACAGGAAGAGATGCTCGTGCCCTATTTGACTTTATACCAGAAACGGAATACGAAATAGAGCTAAAAGCAGGGCAAATCATTTGGGTCCAGTACCGCCAGTGCCCTGTAAGTTATTGTGAGCAATATTTTTAAAAATAAATAATACTAACTGTATGTTCTCTCTTGTAGGGTTGGTTAATTGCAGATGTACATGATCAAACTGGCCTAGTGCCTGAATCATATGTGGAACTTATTTAATGTATTATATATATTAACCCACGCACACAAATAAAAAGATGTATCAAGACTAACCTTTTCGTGTTTCATCAACGTAACATTTGAGCATTACACCAGCCACTTTAAGTTGTTTGAGCGCACCCTTAAGAACACACAAATAAGGTAAGTGTAACACCAAATCGATTCTTGATTCTTGGCTTGCTTACTAGGGAGAAAAGCAAAGAAGGGTATATCAAAGAGCAACCTAATGGATGAAGAGAAAGTGATTGCAATAGACGCTTTTAATTCAAAGGCTTGACAAGGTTTATTCCTTTACCCCAATCTTTTTGTAAAAACGATGTACGATGTGAGTTTAAAATCAGCTGAGCTTTTTATTTTTCATATGAGGTTTGTGCAGTTCGACCAGAAAAGGGGGGCTGAAGAACAAAAACTGGGATTGTCATTTCGGTTCAAATTTAGGCTGATTTATTTTAGCCTTGTATCAATCGATATAGTACGGATTTGCGTAAACTTCCCTAATACGTATCTTATTGTATTCTATGCTTATTCTTGTCCGACGGGAACTTTTTCCAGCTGTGCTTTTTGACCGGAATATTACTCAGTGGACTCAAATTTAACCCATATCCTGTTTGTCCACGTTAGTTCTATAGTAACTTGCCCTAAAGTATCTGCAAATTATCCATAATAAGACAATATCCTTCCATTTCCGTTGAGCCCGAGCCTTTCTTGCAGCAGTTGCCCAGTAGTTTACACAGCTGTCACCTTTTTGTTTGCCTTTTTCTTCTTTTCTTATTATTTGCGCGACTTATTAAACCTTAAGCTAATGTTTAATAATTTTATAATAACACATTGTATCAAGGATACGGCCTTTTTAAAGAGTCTTGGTTCGCAGGAGAATTGTTCCTTTTTCGTTTCATTTGTAACACACGCATACTGTTTTTCTCTGTTTCTTTTTTTTTTTTGAAATAGGCTTTCTTAAATATTGCATTTACTTATTGAATGAGATCAACTGCTTTGCTAACATGGGAGAAAACATATTAAAAAGCCTTTATGCTGTTTTCCCAATATAAACTTGAAGGCTGTGGCTTCTCTTTTTATTTTCAATTAGGCTTAGGACAGTAGTCTTGGATAAACCGAAGCTGTTTTATAGGTGTTCAGTAGAGGAGTCAAAGGACTTTTCCTTAGTCAAACACATAATTCTATACTTGACGCTAACTGTTGTAAGAATTAAATATAGTAGCTTATGCCTTGCTTAAAAACGTTTTTAAAGCCTTTTCTGCGCTTACATCCTCAACTTTTTCTTGCTGATATAAACAGGCACAGATATTTATCAAAAGCTCTGTCTGCAAATCATTGTTTTCAATAGCTTCCATAGAGATAATCGCTCTTTTTTCATTATATTTAGTTTGTTAAAGCAATCAAAATCAATCATAAATCATTTATTCATCTGTCAAACGAATTCTATTTTTTTTTTGGGTTTTCAGGTTCAATCAACCCCGGAAATGTTATACCTTGTTTAGTTACTATAAAAGCAAAACTAAATGATGAACTTTACAGGGAGTAAGGTACCTCAATGATGACTCTTTTTACCAGAGCAGCCATTTTTTATATAGGTAAAGCTCCTTGAAAGAAAGGAGAGAGGGGAAGAGGAGATGATAAGATAGACAAAGACAGAAAAGGAAACACACCTATGAAATCTATATAATTCAATGAGCTTACCTTTTTTTAAAAAAAAAGTTGGATTGATAAACTCACTCTTTAAAGGGAGAGAAAGGGGGTAGAAATGGAAGCATACACGTACATAAACTGTGGCGCAAAACGAAGGTTAGATTACCTTTAAAAGAAATAAAAAGAATGATCCATTCGTTGAAAAGAACTATTTTAAAACATGCGTTTTTACGTTTATTATTGTTTAAATTAAGAACTTTTTTAAGAAAACAATGAAAGAGGAAAAGGAGTAAGGTTGTGTGCATTTCTATTAAATGTAAAAAAAAGAAGAAGAAGCAATAATTCATGAGACTACACATACTTGCAAACGAAAGAAGCAAAAAAAGAGAAACTACAGAAGGGTAGTACATAAGTGGCATATAAAACTTGAAAGCATATGGATAGCGCAATTTCCGGCTTTTAGGAATATACACGGTAGAGAAAAGAACCATTGCTATCTTTAGAAGCCACGAAACAGCATTGCATCGATTGATGTGGGGCTAGAATGAGCTGAGGAGGAAGGGCTGAGTGCAAAGGCAGGTGGTGGATGAAGAGGCGGAAGTGATAAAGATTTGATCAAACTAGGAGATGGTAAGGGAGAAACCGGCGGCGAGACAAACATACTTCGACGCTGCTGTTGAGGGGTAACTCTCTCTCGTGTTCTTGTCGACTGTCGCTTATTTTGAAACCATATCTGCACAGTTCTTGGACTCATTCCTAATCGTTTGCCTAGTTCTATGCGAAGTTCGGTTGATGGAAAACATGTCTGTTGAAAGACTCGGTTCAATATGTACAGCTGTGAAGGGGATGCTCGCTTTCTTTTCGCTTTTACCGGCTCATCGGATTCGTAGAGAACACTATCAGCCCTTGTTGGAGATAAAAGGCTGGATACATGGAGGATTGATGGTTTTGTTGACTGTCTTGTGTAGAAATAGCCACTAGTGTTGACAATGTCTGAAAGCGAGGGTAGAGTACATGCAGATTTCATGATAAGAAGAAGAGATGTGTTTGAAGGAAAAAAAAAAAAAAAGAAAATAAAGTTACAATACTATTTTATATCCTTTTTAAACAATCGTTCTGCTTCAACATCATTCTAGCTCTATATTAAGAAACATTCCCCTTTATCTTTGCTTCGATGCCTCCTATCTCTTTCTTTTTCTTTCTTTCTCGTTTAGTCTCTCTCTTTCTTATACACTCAGCTAATATTTCCCCACAGGCTTGCCCCCACAGCTTTAACTTAATTTTAAGCCTGGCTCTTCCCTTTCCCCTTTCTTAAGATAAACCAAAAAGATTAACCTTATTATTGACATATTAAGCTTTTATGCATTTGTTTTGCACCCCCCTCTCTCATAAACGTTCGACAAATATATTTCTCCTAAACTGAAATCTAGAAATGACTATTCATTGCCACGCTATATAGAAGTAATATTTGCACAATATATACACAAGCTTCTGTTGTTCGTTAGCTTATAGTAAAGAATACTGTTATTCTTTGTTTAATTCTTTATACATGACTCAGGGACTATTTTTTCACATCTATCATTAAATCATCATCTTTCTTCATCTTTATTATATTGTTATTACCTGAATAAAAATAACATGTATGCAGCTTTCTCCTTGATTCATAACAAAAGGTATCCCCTTTTTCTTATTCACATAAAACAAAAGAAAAGGATAGGAAAGGTATGAGTGAGGAGGGCAATGAAGAGTATATACACTTTATAAATGGTTGATTTTCATATTAACTTTTTAATTTTACGATATTAAACGATCAAACAATGACGATAACTTACGTTAACGTTCCCTCCTTTCCTTCTCCTTCTACTTGTATATAAACCAGCAGATCAATTACTATTCTCCGAATAAACAAAAAGGGAGAAAACAAAAATGTGTGTTCTCCTGGGGCGAAAGGGATATGTTTTATCGGCCACAATTCCGATTTTGACACATTTCAAAACTTTAAAATTCCTTTAATTTTACATCTGCTTTTATTTTATATAAGATTTACAAACAAAAAGTGGTCGAAATGCCTTTTTTTTAAATAATGTTGATCATTTTCTCTGATTGAAAACAATTTAACGGCGTTGAGAGTAGACGTGAGCGAAAGCACGAGTGGTAGCGCGCTTCAACTTGGATTGAGCGGACTTGAGGTCATCAGGCTTGGCATCATCAGCAGAGAGTTCCATGAGTTCCATGGCTTCGGCCAAAGCGGTTTCAATAGCTTCACGGTCAGCACGACGGAGCTTCATGTTGACATTGGGGTCAGCAATGTTGTTCTCGACTTGGTAGACGTAAGCTTCGAGGTCTTGCTTAGCTTGGACAACGGCTTCACGTTCCTTGTCAGCATCAGCGTTCTTGGCAGCATCTTGAACCATACGTTCAATATCAGCAGCAGAGAGACGAGTGGAGTTGGAGATGGTGACATCAGCCTTGCGACCGGTGGTCTTGTCTTGAGCAGTGACCTTCAAGATACCGTTGGCATCGAGATCGAAGGTACAGAGGAGCTCAGGAGTACCACGAGGAGCAGGGATAAGACCAGAGAGAGAGAATTCACCGAGAAGGTTGTTTTCCTTGGTCATCAAACGTTCACCTTCGTAGACAGGGAAAGTGACAGTGGTTTGGTTATCGGCAGCAGTGGTGAAGACCTTGGACTTTTGACAAGGGATAGGGGTGTTACGGGGAACGACAACAGCCATGATACCACCTTGCATTTCAACACCAAGAGAAAGAGGAACAACATCCAACAAGAGGAGGTCTTGAGTCTTTTCGTTACCAGCTTGGTTGGTGAGAACAGCGGCTTGAACGGCAGCACCGTAGGCAACAGCTTCATCAGGGTTGATGGACTTGTTCAATTCCTTACCACCAAAGAGATCTTGGAGGAGGGATTGGATCTTGGGGATACGAGTAGAACCACCAACGAGAACGATTTCATCAACATCCTTCTTGTCAACCTTGGCATCCTTCAAGACACGTTCAACGGGTTCGATAGTACCGGCGAAAGCAGTAGAGTTGATTTCTTCAAACTTGGCACGAGTGATGGTGGATTGGAAGTCAACACCTTCGAAGAGAGAGTCAACTTCGACAGTGGTTTGGGTCAAAGAAGACAAGGTACGCTTAGCACGTTCGGAGGCAGAACGGAGACGACGGAGGGCACGGGCGTCACCGGAGATGTCCTTCTTGTGCTTGCGCTTGATTTCTTGGACGAAGTGGTTGACGAGAGCGTTATCGAAATCTTCACCACCCAAGTGAGTGTTACCAGCGGTGGCCTTGACAGCAAAGACACCACCAGCGATGGTCAAGAGGGAGACATCGAAAGTTCCTCCACCCAAATCGTAGATGAGGACATTACGTTCCTTCTTGTCGTTGGCATCCAAACCGTAAGCGATGGCTATAAGCTGTATAAATATCTTGTTATTCTAATACTGTCTAAAACTTACCAGCAGCAGTGGGTTCGTTGATGATACGGAGAACATCAAGACCAGCAATGACACCGGCATCTTTAGTAGCTTGACGTTGACCTTTAATATAAATAGTAAGTTATCCAGTTTATCTCGTATTTTTTTTTTTAAAAAAAATATACATACTGTCGTTGAAGTAAGCAGGGACAGTGACAACGGCCTTGGTGACCTTCTTGCCGAGCTTAGCTTCAGCAATTTCCTTCATCTTGATCAAAACCATAGAGGAAATTTCTAATAATTTGTTAGTCACAAAACACCAATGAAATTTTTTAATCATTTACCTTGGGGAGAATAGGTCTTGGTTTCACCTTCAAATTCGACTTGAATGAAGGGGTTTTCGTTTTGTTCGACGACGGTGAAAGGCCAGTTCTTCATGTCAGCCTTGACATCAGGATCATCGAAACGACGACCGATCAAACGCTTGGCGTCGAAAACGGTGTTCTTGGGGTTCATGGCAGCTTGATTCTTGGCAGCATCACCAATGAGACGCTCCTTATCAGAGAAAGCGACATAGGAGGGAGTGGTACGGTTACCTTGTTCGTTGGCAATAATTTCAACACGTTCGGATTCCCAAACACCAACACAGGAGTAGCTAATATATCAAAAGTGTATGTGTAAGCGCGAATGATGTATATAGCATGCTTTTATCCAACTTACGTAGTACCCAAATCAATACCGATAGCACCCTCGTATTCAGCAGACATTTCTAATAGACTCGCAAAGGAGGAGAAAAAAAAGAGAAAGAGCAAGTACAACCGATCTCTTTCACATTGTTATAGTCGAAAAAAATTTTGTCAGCCGGAGCAAAAAGGTCACTGACCGGAATCCCGCAAGCCACAGAATGCTAAAAGTGTGTCAGTAGTTCATTTGATTGGTTTGCACAACCGCAAGAGATGGTTTAATGGGGTTCAATCTGAGTTTAGGAGAAACTCCTCTCTCTTTTTTAAAGCCTGTCATGAAGCACACGTTTGTTTTTTTTTTCTTTATCATTTTTAACATGTTTGCTCGTGCCGCTGCCCGCTTCGGTAAACAATAGATGAGATAATGAACAAAAAGAACGCGTCATTTCTAATTATTAATGTGTGTAGCTGCTAGACCTGCTGCTTCCATGAGAGGTTCATAAAATGACTTTCTTGAATTGAACATATGTTTATTAACATATTACAGCTCGCACCTTTGCCACTGTCAACCGTGCTGCTGTTTCCAGTGCTTCTCGTCACGGCATGACTGTCTGTGCTGCTGTCACTGCTGGTGCTCTTTCCTATGCTTATTTCCAAAGCAAGGAGCCCGTCTCTGCTGATGCCAAGCCTATTGCTGGTGTCAAGTAAGTTGTGTGTTTTTGATGGTTGAATGCGTAACTAATTTGTTGTCAAGGGGCACTCTGACCGAACGTACTTTTATCGCCATCAAGGTTCATTGAAATGGAACAAAGGCGAAAAAAATGACTAATTCTTATTTATAGCCCGACGGTGTCCAACGTGGATTAGTCGGTAAGATCATCTCTCGTTTTGAAGAACGTGGATATAAGCTCGTTGGCTTGAAGGCCATTGTTCCTCCTAGAGAATTGGCTGAAAAGCATTATGAAGATCTTAGCTCACGTCCCTTCTTCAAGGGCCTTGTTGATTACATGACCAGCGGTACTCCTGTCATTGCTATGGTAAAATAACAAAAAGCGTGGAAGCACATAGATTGATTTTTATATTGGTATAGGTTTGGGAAGGTAAGGATGTCGTCAAACAAGGTCGTGCCATGATTGGCGCCACCAACCCTCTTGAATCCGCTCCTGGTACTATCCGTGGTCAATACGCTGTATGTCGTAAAAAAAAAAAGATAAAAAACGTCAACTCATTTTTTTCATAGATCTCTGTTGGCCGTAACATCATCCATGGCTCTGACTCCTTTGAATCTGCTGAAAAGGAAATCAGCTTATGGTTCGGTAAGGCCGGTGAACTTGTTGACTGGACTCCTGCCAACGCTGAATGGGTTCAATCTGATAACTAAATGATTATTTATTGATAATAAAACCAATCAATTACTGTTATTGTCATGCATTTGCTTTAATGTCTTTTCAATAGTGTTGATACGCGTATTCATCTCTTCTACTATACACTCAAAAGGTTAGCGTTTGTTTATAACTTTTTTTTTTGGGTCTTACACTTTTTATTTATATCTGTGCTCGTTTCATCTAGTTTATTTTGCTAAGAAAGAAAGAGTCAATATGAATAACAGTAATAATAATAAAAAGCTAATTGACTATACGATCTTGTCTGCAAGGCCATTAAGCTATAATATATACAATAAGTCCAAAATGAAACTAATTAAAAGAAAGCAAATACTTACAAATGATGTTAAATCTTCAGGTGCAATTTGCTCATTTGTATTATCCTTATTTGAACTCATATTTGTTGTTTAAAAAGAAGAAGGGAGAAAAAAATGGAATTTTTGTTACTTTTTTCTCTTGTTCAACATGTCTTCTGAAGAACCCGTACTTTCTGATGAGCAAATCCTCGAGTTTGAACAACAAATTAAAGACGAAGAAGCCCAAAGGGTAAATGAAGCATGTTGTGTATACCTGAGCTCATTTTCTTTTAGGTTCCTCTTGTATGTCAGGACGAGCCTATCAGTAAGCTTGAAGAAGAGTTTAAAGATAATCAGCAATTTTTAAACAAGATTAAAGTAAACGATAAATGCAGGCACTTAAGCTCCATTATGTAACTGTTGTCTTTTTGTATTAGAATCTGGCACAGGAACATGATCGTATTAGGAGATGTCGTGGTGATGGTAAATATCTATAAAATGCATACGTGTATATTCACTCATGTATATATATTTTGTATAGGCAACTGTTTCTTTAGAGGTAGATCAACTTGTATTAGATTAAACATTTTTATTTAAACATAAACATTCTGTTAGCTATTGCGTTCAGCTGGTATGAAAAGGCTATGAACGACATCAGTAACTATGACACCAATCTTGCCAGACTCAAAGAATCATGCAGCTTATTAGAATATGCCCAATTTCAAAAACTTGCTTATGAGGACTTTTATGAAGTAGCATGTGAACAGTTTGAAAGATTGGGTGAATACAGAAATGATCCTGATATGTTACTCGTAAACTTTCAATCATATGAGATCAGCAATACGATTATCACGTACTTTAGGTTTGTCACGTCTGCTTATCTTCGTATTCATTCAGCTGAATATGAACCATTCATTGTTGATGAAATGATCTCTATCGACGAGTTTTGTTCAAGAAATGTAGAAGCATTTGGTAGTGAGTCTGACCACTTGCAGATTATTGCTATCAGTAAGGCAATGGACATTCCAATTCACATTGTCTATTTGGATGGTGGAATGGAGGACAAGGCAACTGTACATGAGTTCTGGCCAACGGAAAAGGATGAATTGGAAAGAACAAAGATTCCCATCAAGTTACTGTACAGGCCAGGTAAATAACAGTGAAATGAAACTCACCTTGTTATATTCACGTCTTTAATAGGACACTACGATATTCTCTATCAAAAGTAATACCGCTTTTACTTAAATAACACAACATTGCATAAACATACATTTATCATTGATTAAATAGTTTGTTGAAATAAAATGAATATTGGCATACTAAAAAGGAAATTTATAGTAAGTAGATTACTAAGGACTCCACACTGCCTTATCTAAAGAACAGCATTTTTCATGCAACAGAAAAATTTGATAAACTCACATTGTTTTTGATAAATTATAACGTTTGACATGTATTTATAAAGCGAGACATACTTTTGTTGAACCATTTTTCATTATTACCGCCCACTCTTATTTTTAAAAATCATGTTCAAGCTTTATATCTGTTTCTCCAGTACTTTCTCTCTTGCTTCTCGCGTCGTCCGCCATCCTTTGACCAAAAAGCTGGCTCTGACTTTCTATCGAGTACTCAAGAAACTCACGCCTATTCTTGCCGTTGCTCTTTTAGAGGTCGCTTTTCTCGTAGTAGAGAAATCTGCAGAGTGCGCAGGCGCCTTTGTAATGATTGCTATGGAAGAAATAAAGGACGAAAAGAGCAAATCGGCTTGATTGTCTTTGCTCAGAGACAATGGATGGAGAGAGGAACTACAAATGGCGGTGTATGAAATGGCACAACTGGTAACAAACAAATATAGTCTTTTCTTTTAATCAACCGCTTTTCTCATGAACATTCTTCTTTACGATGATCTAGGCGCATCACCTAATTCTGTCAAACAAGCATACAACACTCTGAAAGCATTGCTTGGGCATGCTTATGATATTATAAAAATCGACCGAACAGTTCTTCAGTCCGAGCCGTGGGAAACTGGCTGTGCTATGCTCGTTATGCCTGGTGGAAGAGACTTGCCTTACTGTGAAGCACTCAATGGCGAGCCCAACAGACGGATATGCCAGTTTGTGAAGAATGGAGGTTTGTACCTTGGAATATGTGCTGGCGCATACTACGCTTCTCAAGGCATAGAGTTTGAACGGGGAAATCCAAGGATGGAGATCATTCAGCCTCGAGAACTGGGGTTTTATCCAGGACTATCCAGAGGAACGACCTATCCAGGCTTTATCTATAACAGCGAAAGCGGGGCAAGATCGATCTCGGTAGTGATAGAAAAGGATACACTGCATAACGGATATCCTGCCGCAAGTGACGTTCCAGACGAAATCAAAATGTATTATAACGGTGGTGGATATTTTGTGCATCCGGAAGAACATGGCAATGTTACAGTTCTGTGTCGATTTAAAGATCCTGGTCCATTGTGTCTAGACGAGCCCAAAGGTCCTGCAGCTGTCGTTCATTGTAAGGTGGGTAGGGGCAGCGCCTTACTGATAGCCACTCATCCAGAATATGATGCCTCTTCAGAAGATTTGTTACTTGCCGATAGTGCAAATAGTAAAAAAGTGCGCGACATCTTGAATGATCTCGTTTTGTCTGAATTGAAAAGAAAACAGTTCTTACGTGCGGCTTTTGCACGCCTTGGGTTACGTGTGGTGCCTTTTGATGATAACAAGATACCTCAAGAGAACAAGCTACCAAATATAACTCCATTATACATGTCTGGACTATCAAACGAATGGATTCATGGGCCACTGTCATATCTCTTGAACAAGTCTGATAAACATTCACGTCTCCTGAAAGATTCAAGTGATATATTTCATGTCAGGGAGTTGGACAGCCCACTTGATGACGATATTCATATTTTATCAATGTGCAGAGTTAAAGAAGGCAAGTCTCCTGTTATTGAAATCTTATATCCCGATACGTCTTACCCAGTGGAGCCCATTTGCCCTCCTTCAAGCATGACGTTGCAGTTTAACCTGGTTGAATACTATCAACAGTTAACCCAGAAAAGAATCGCTCATCAAGAAAATACGCTTCAGTTTGGAAATGGGCTCCTATATGCTGAAGTTATTGATAGTACTCAGACAATGATGGAAAAGTAAATATAAAAGAGGAGAAGAGAATAGGTGGGCTGATAAAATAAAATGAAATAGGAACTCTACGTTTTTGGCAGGCTTACCAACTGGTTATCTGTGTTTAGCAAGTACACAAATCGCAGGACGAGGTATGATAGATGCGATGGAGAACAATTTATCAACAACTAAGCATATATTATTAGGCAGAGGAAGGAACTCATGGATATCACAGTCAGGAGCCTTACAGTTTAGCATGATTCTAAGGCACAAAGTACACCTCAGACATGCTCCTGTTGTCTTTATTCAATACATGGTTGCCTTGTCTATAGTCGAAAGCATACGAGAACGACAAGGATACGAAGATGTTCCCCTAAGACTAAAGTGGCCAAATGATATCTATGTAGAAACCAGCAGCGGAGAACAGAAAAAAGTAGGAGGGATCTTGATAAACTCATCGTTTGCTTCAGATGATTTCGTTTTGGTCATTGGTATGCACTATATATATAATCGACTTGCTCCCAACAAACTAACAATCAATGTAGGGTGTGGACTGAATCTATCAAATCACTTTCCTACTGTTTCAATCAACGATATCTTTAGAAACTCTTCCCTTGCCCCACTTAGTGCTGAAGATGTCTTGGCTGGTATCATTGCCAAGTTCGAAGTGTATTACGGTCACTTCTGTAGAGATGGAATAGGTTCATGGTTCTTGGACACATACTACAAACGATGGCTGCACAGGTATTGTTTATTTCATGGATTAGCACAAAAAGAAAGCATACTAACCCCGTCTTTCAGCAATACTATCGTTACTCTGACGACTCATAACGATGAGAAGGTAAAGGTGATTGGCATTACAAAAGATCATGGTATGCTGTATGTTGAAAGCCTTGATCGACCAGGCAAGTTTTATGGACTTCAACCAGATGGCAATAGCTTTGATATGATGAAAGGATTATTAGTGAGGAAAATTTTATGATCAACCATGCCTGGAAGAAGTCAAATTATGAGGCGAGAAAAACAATCTAAATTAAATCTTTATTCATCATTTCGCTAAATACGCATCAGCCAAAAAAAAAGTTCACCTATAGATTTTTCGTGACGGGCTGAATGGCTGCATGAACGCTTTCTTTTTTTCCTTTTTTAACAAATGAATACCACACTTAGTGAAGAAGAGATTCAATTGCTCCTTCAAAAGAAAGATGAGCTTTCACCGGAGTTAATTCAATTGCTTGAAGAATATGAAAACTTGAAGAGTTCAGAACAACCTTTTGACATGGGAGAAAACTGTGGCATCACCTTCTCATTCGGCCATCGTATATTCTTGTTACCTTCTGTTGTCATTGGTTACCCAAGTCAAAACGACATAACTGTGATTATTCTTACGCCGCTTACAAAAGAGACTTTACCTTGTCATCAGTTTCTCGCTGGACACTGTCAAGATTCCTGCTCTTTGGGTTATTCGCATGGGTATGTGCTTCCTAGAGAGTATATTGTGCCTTACGACGCCCTTGATCTTGACAACTTGACCGAACAACTGCAGAGTGATGCCAGCGTATGGTGTAAGGATAAAGAGAGTATGTTATGGAAAGAGGCGCGTGTGGTCGAGCAGATGTCTGGGACAAGTTGGAAAGTACGAAATAGCACAAGGCAGGAATTCATTGTAGAACTTGGCGATATTATTCCAATAAGAGAGTTAGATGACCTTGAAGAATCAGAACATGAGGCACAAGATAAACAAGAAAATGATACTATTGATTATGGCATGACCGAAAGGGCACCAAATACATGGGGTGGTTGGCAAGCACATACCACTGACTTTGCTGCTAGAATGATGAAAAAGATGGGCTATCAAGAAGGCAAAGGGTTGGGACTTCAGGGACAAGGTCGAGTAGAGTTTGTGCAAGAAACAAAGTATGGACAGACAGGCAGACCAGGATTAGGATTCGAAAAGCAAAAGCCGAAAAAGAAAGTCAAACCAAAGACGATTGCCCAGGAAAAAAATGATGTCTTTAACTACATGAATTCTATTCTAGAACCTGTAAAAAAGAGTGCAAAAATACAGGAAGGTTCAGCACCAAAGCCTACGAATGAAAAGGAAGCATACAGAGCCATAGCCAAGTTACAAGATGAGATGAATAAAGCTCAACTCGGCTTATCTAATGCCAAGGCAGCGTACAAGAGAAATAAAGGTACCTTCAATGAGGACTTGTTTTCAAGCAAGTTGAAAGATGCAGCAGCTCATTTGGATGTCGTAACGACTGAACTGAAGAAATTACAGAGACACGTTAAGCAAACAAAAGAAAAGCAGGATATGTATACATTCTAGTGTAGTTAGAGCATATACAGCAATAAGATTATTCAGCAATTTAGATACCATGCCTAGCATAAAGGCAAGGCAAATGCACACCATTACACATTGTATAAATTCATGTTCGTATTGTACATTTTTAATATCATTTCATAATAAACATGCAAGAGGGGGAGGATGTCTAATGCTTAACGCTTTTGGTTCTTTTTCATTTGTTCCATTTGATCAAATTTCTTGTAACTTCTCTTTTCATATTCCTTAAGCTTATATCTTCTGGTTGGTGTAACTGGCACTCTTGGTTCGATAATATTACGCTTTACGAGACTATGGAATCTATCTTTGAATATACTTCCTTCAGGCTATAACATAAAAAGTGTTTATATCAAGTTGTGCATCAGTACTATCCTATCACTCTTACCTTTAGTTGTCGAAGGGTTGCGCACAGCTCATCTGTCAGCTGCACGTCAATGGGTAACTCAGGTACTTCATACTTTCCAAGCTTTTTAACTCCTTTCTTTTCTTCGCTAGCCTTGCGCTCCTCTTTCTTTTCCAACAGAGCATCCAACTCATTTGCTCTCTGTTCAATCTCGGCTTCAATCTCTCTAAGCTGATCAATTTGTCTACGAATAGCTTTTTCATGCAATTTTTGTTTTCTTGCCAACTCTTCACTTGCTAAACGGAACTTCTTATGTCGTTCTCTTCTTGTCTTGCGCTTAGCAGCCTTCATTTTCTTTGTCTCTTGATCATCTGTTGGTAAGTCTTGCACATCTTCATCGTCCTCATGTTCCATTGGAGCATCTTCACTGGCTAGCAGTTTCAGCTCTTCACGATAAGACAGCTGTTCATGAAGTTTGGCAATAATTTCCGCTTTACGCTCTTCTGCTTTCACAGCTTCTGCAAGTAATTGCTGATGCTGTTCTGCTTCAGGGTTATATGATGCTCCTCCGTGTGGTGTTTCAATGGCTGGAATATGTGTAGCAGCAGCAGGTTTTTGTTTTATCGTCTCAGGTGTCTTGGGTTTTTGTTGAGTAGGTAAAAAGTCATTGACAGGCTCTGATTCTATAAAAAGAGAGATCGCACTTTAGGAATATGGTTTCAAGGTCAAGCTTTCATGTATATCTATACCCTCTTGTCCCCAAAGGTCATATGTCTTTTTGTCATTGACTTTTTTCTTCTTTGGTTGTGATTGTGTTTGTTGATTTCCTTTACGTTTCAGGATCTTTTGAATGTTGTCTGATTCATGTTTAGAAGCAACTTTATCTGTAATTTCTTGCTTCTTAAATGGGTTCTTTGGCTGCACAGCAGGAACAGCTGATCTCTGTTGCAAGATCTCGTCCACTCGAAGTGGCTTATCTTTAGCTAGTTGACGCTTAACTATATGTATAAAGTTAGTATTGTATACAAAAAGACACAGCAGTTAAACTTACCGTTCAAATCGCCTGCCGTATCAATAGTAAACAGTTCCTCATCTTTTATTTCTCCAGTATGACCACTACATAACAAATTAATATGATGAAGCATAAAAATAACAAGACTTTACATGAGTCTTTCCACAGCTCTCAGCTCTTCTTGTCCTTCAGTAACATCGGATATATCTACATTTTTACGCCATGCTTTCTTGCCTTTACGACTGGGCTGTGCCTTTTTTACTACTTGAGCTGACATTGATAAACTTGTACAGAAAAGAAAAAAAAAAAAATAAAAACAACTTTTAAGTAATTGTGACTTTATAAAATGATTGTCACTTTCCATTTTAATTCTTAACCAGTCATCGCAACCTTAAATTATGATAAGCAGTAAGAGGTTACTCAGACGTTTAATGTAGCACCAATATTCAACAGCCAAAAGCCTATTATATTATCAGCAGCTAAAAAACATAAATCCTTAAGCATTGAATAGATTAGAACGAAGTATCTTCCTAATGTACACAAACCTTAAAAATATGAAACGTTGTATTTAAATCACAAGCTAATTTCTATTGGGCAGCCAAATAAGGAGAAAAAAATAAAGAGCAAACCCGTTCTTCCTCTCTTTTTTGTTTTAACAGTGAGTAGCATAAAGAATGATAAGCATTAGAGGCTTTACTTCTCTAGTTTTGAAAAATGGTAAGGGAGTACCACTTTATGTATCTCTTCTTAAGGTAAGTACACATTTACAAGTTTATAAAAGATGAAATTTAGAAAAGAAGATTGACTGAATGTTGTTGCTGATTCAACTTTATTTGCCTTCTTTTCGACTTGAATATATGATAAAACGACAGCATATCTTGCAAATACTGATAGTATTTTGAGGGCTTACTCTCATTTGTGCTGTTATGTTTACATGATACGCGTCCAAATGTTTGAAAATCAACCTTTTGCTAAACATTGCTTAATTTCCTTTGGTAAGCTTATTCTTCTCTTTTGTTCTTTGCTTCACAAAGGATGACCTGGTTTACTATCATCCAAAAGTGCGGTAAGAGCATTTATGAGCTTATTTGGGCATACTTTTACAAAGGTAAATACACATTTACAAAAGACAAGCTGTGACAACATAGACGGACATTTTGATATCATAGCTAACCGTTTGAGAGGCTTGTTCTCATTCTATGTTTGTATGATTTCATCATGCACGTCTGAATTAAGTTTTACGGAGTTTATGAGCAATCTTTTATAGACTTGCTTATAAGTATTTACTGTTTTTGTCGTATTTGACCATGTTGAATACTAATCTTTAAGTGAGAAATTACATTTGACTTAATTACATGGTATCTTAATTAGTAATCTGATCTCTTTTAATACAGCCTCATTTCTTTTTGCTATGAGCTCCTCCTTTCACTTCTAATAAAAGGATAAAACAGAGACTCAGCACTTCTTTGCTTTTACTGTATACATTACACGAGTACTAATAACAACAACTGTAAACTACAACCAATATCTCAGTTCTCATGTCTAAACTTCTTAATCGATCACTGAAAGCCGCCCATCTTCCATACGATCCTAAGGAAAGTATGAACAGCTGGCTCCATCAATTCAATCTTCACTTCCAACGTTTGTCTCTTACGATTGAGCAAAAGCTCCTGCACATTAATCAATACATGCCTTCGGATGTTGCTAATTGGACATCTCTCGGCACAGCTTTACTCCAAACCTTTGGTATCTCTGCTGCCAAACATAAGCAAGTTGTTCGTAGTCGCCTGGAATTACTTTGTTAAGGGTCAATGTCTTCTAGTCGCTTCGCCTTCCTGTTCGAATCTGTCATCTTCGACTTTCCCGATGGCCATAAACTAGATGCAGATACTCTGAAAATCATTTATCTTCAAGACATATCTCCAAAGATTCGCCAAATGGTGATGCTTAACACCGCAAAACACACCTGGCGTGACATTTTCATTGCTGCTACAGCAATCAAAGAAGCTGTCTCTCTGGATACTCAGCCCTTGCTTGAAGACGAATTTGCGAAACTCGCGTTATCTGCTACACCTATTATTCAGTCTGACCTGATTCCTGACGAGAGCGTCGAAATAGTCGATATCAATGCTTTATCTAATCAGCGTCAACACGCTTCTTCTTCTTCTGGTAGTCGCTACTCTTCACGCTCATCAGAGGCTTCATGAAACCAATTCCGTCAACAACGTGACCCTATGCGCCTATGATCTGATTCTGGTAAGCTTATATGTGGTCATTGCGAAACGGAAGGACACCTTACCAAGCTGTACTCACGCCTTGGAATCAATAAACACACAATTTTTTGAAAGACAACACCTATTCCTTTCCACTTGTTAGCAAGCTCTTGTCGGAGACGAAGAGTTCTTTCTGAATCTCTTTCGGCAATATGTTTAGAAGCTTGTTTGAAACTAAAAAGCGTTGCTCTGTCAGATGCTTCCATGGTGCTGTGAGGGAAATGGATAAACAGTACTGCGTGGAATCATGCATCTTTTTGCGGCCACAGGTACTGATAATCCTTCTTCTTGCAAAACTTCAATAAAACGACGAATTGCTATGGACCGTACTTGTTTCTTCTTTTTTTTTTATCATCTGAAATAGTAACTATACTTAATTCAGCGGTAATCTCTTCTAAATTTTCGTCCGTGTCTTTCATCTTATGGTCATGAACAGGAACATCGAAGTTTGTGAGTATGGTGATTTCGCCGTATCCATATGCCAATTTCATGGCTTTGGTTTCAGTCCAGGATAATACTCCATTAAAGGTCGCTAATTAGTGCAGTCCATTTTCTATTTCGCAGTGTTCAATGAATGTAAGTGTTTGTAATAATCATCTCTTGAAAAGTGTCTCGTAATAATTCTGCGAAGGTACACAAAAAAATAAACTGCGTCTCACACGAACGTTTGCAATCGTCTCGTTTTAACCTAAAATCTTGTATCAAGATATTTAATTGCAGTTCAACTCTTAAACATACGTTTAATTATATAAATATAACCAATATTTCTTATTCAATTAATAAATCAAATAGATCTTTGGTCTTTATCTCCCAATTTCTTATTACCATTTCTGGTCCGATCTCCTAGCTATTTTATGGTGGAGAAATTGTTCTTTCCCCGCGCCCATACTCTCTAAAGCTCTACCTCACTCTCTGAATTTGGTGTTTATCATTCTCTATCGGTGTCTATCGCTATTAGCTCTCTCAAAATCTATCTGTCTTACCTACAACATGTATCTAAACTAAGCGACTAACAAAAACCTACAATAAGCGCTTGTTATGTTTCTTTTTATTATTCTCAGCTATTTAAAATGCAATTAGACCCATTCGAGCTTAAATGTCTTGTAATAAAATAGCTACTACTGAGAAATAGTTTATACCTTGATGGATTACAGTATCTTCTGAGTCTTCTGCCAGAGCAGCATTGATTCAAGAGTTTCACAATAGATAGGGATTTTGAGTGAAATGCATTTGATAATTTTTTCCAAATCTGATCACTCTTACTTCCTTATGATCGTCTGCTTGCATGGAAAAGAAAAGAAGACCTTAACTAGACCCAAGGCGTTCCAGTCCAACCTAAACTTAGTATGTTCATACGATGATATTCTTTCTTTTGCAGTGCTAGATGTCCGCTATGTTTAGTAGCTGTGATAATGACAACAGTGTCTTAGTGTAAGAGTTTTCATGATATTAAAAAATTAAAAAGGTCAAATTGAAAAAGCCCACTAATCACAGTAGGGTTGTACACATTAAGTACATTTTCATGTGATACTCTACACGCCCTATTTATATAAAGCGCTTCAAACCCATCTTTCTTTTCTTCTCTTTTCATTTTCTCTAATACAACAACGAAATGTCTAATAATCAAGTTAAAAACGACCCTTTTGTACTTTCTGTAGCTCAAGGTAAAGTTGAAAAATAAAGAGCAAAAAGACTGTATACTTAGTTGCTCCAAGGTGGAGAAGCTGCTATCAGTGCACAAGATATGTTAAAGCTACTAGACTCTCTCAAGGTCGATCCTTCATCTAGTCCTGACCTCCAAACCCTGGTTGAATCAGCCAAAAATGGAGAACCAGTTGATAGAGAAGCGTTGATGGCAACTGTCGCTAATTTATTGGCAAATGATACACAACACCTTGGTGAGCTGGCAGGCTCTATTGGCAATTTTGAAATTGAATTTTAAGCATACCCTTTCTATTAAATATGTACCCTTTATGCAAAAGACGCAGTTTTCCTATGATTAGATGTATTGATATAGTGAAATGCTTTTGTTATTAATATAAAATATATGGTTTTTGTTTTTAAAAAAGATATTCTTTAACTAGTGTTATTCCTATGCCTATTAAAAAAAGGCGCTCATGGGATATTTTGTAAAGTGTCACTGAATGGTAAAATTGACTTGTGGTACTACATATGCATAAACAAACAAAGAAGCAACGATGTATCTGGTCATGTCTATCATAAGTTTCTATAGAGTAAAGATTTAGTCAATATGTATGATGCCTAGAATACTCTAGTCCTTGAATCACCAAGGCCTAACTGTGCATTTATGTGCTAATTAAAAGAGGAGCACAAAAACGCGACATCATACCATTTTGCTACCGACTGGGGACATTGATTTACTGATAAACTTGGAAATTATCCCATTAGAGCCCCCAGACATCTTCCTCGTTTGTGGTACATAAAGAGAGGAGGACACTTACAATAAATCAAAATGTAATCAGATCGACAATGGCTCATCGAGGCTACCCTGAGCCAAATCAAAAATATTGGGCTAGCAATACTTTTTTACAAGCTGAAATGAATCGCTATCAAAATAACTGGAAAAAAAGAAGAGATTTACATAAAACAAACATGCTATGGTTTGACACTATATGTCTCCTAAAGCATCAAATTGATAAAAATAACTTCACTATACTCTTTATCCAGGGGAGCGTCGTATATAGGTCTCTTTTCTACTGTTTTCAGTTGACAGCCTGAGTACTGTTTCCCTTTTTGGAAGTCAACCACCAACATTCTACAAGTAGCATAAACCACAGTGGCCAATGACAAAATCCATACCTTCCTGGATATTCTCAGTCAAGGGCGCATAGTGAAGAGTAGTCTAACTTGATTTAATGACTGGACTCTTACCTCATAACTGGGGTTTTTATTTAGGAAAATCCGTTATGTAACATTTTGTTGACTGATTGCGACATCCTGAGTAACGCTCATAAAATAAGGTTTATTCATTCAAATAACATGAGCTACGTCCGCGACGGAAGTTGGAATGTCCTTAATCGATGCCAATATAATACAAAATTACGGGATAGAAGGTGAACGAAGCTGCTTAAAATGGCAAAGTTTGAGTTCAGCTTGTTTAGATGACTAATTCGTGACGTCGAATAATGCAAAGGAAAAGGTCAGAAAAAAGGTATAAATACGCTAATATAAGATGAATATTGTTTTCTTTAATATCATTTTTATCATGTCTCTTGGTCGTACTCTTAAACTGTAAGTTTATTTTTATTACCAAGCAAAGAAAAGACTTTGTTTGACACGCGTCTTTTTACGTGTAGCAACACTGGCGCTACAATTCCTGCCTTAGGCCTCGGAACCTGGCAAGCAAAGCCTAACGAAGTGTACCATGCCGTTATCGCTGCTCTTGAAGCTGGCTACAGACACATTGATGCTGCCTTCATCTGTAAGTATTTCCCAAAGATATAGTTTGTATATTTATGCTAAATGAATCTCGATTAGATGGTAACGAAAAGGAAGTTGGACAAGCCATCAAGGATAGCAAAGTTCCTCGTGAAGAAATCTTTGTTACTACCAAGCTTTGGAACACCAGCCATCGCCCTGAAGATGTTGAAAAGGCACTTCAAGTCTCCCTTGAGAATCTTCAATTGGATTATCTCGATCTCTATTTGATGCACTGGCCTGTTGCATTCAAGCCTGGAAAAGAAAATGTTCCCAAGGATGCTGACGGCAATATCCAATTTGACGATGTAGACTTTACTGAAACCTATGCTGTAAGGATTTTATCCCCTTAGTAATAATAATATCTGACATGACATCACGTAGGCTATGGAAAAACTCGTGGGCGATCGCGTCCGCGCTATTGGTGTCAGTAACTTCAATATCGCCAAACTCGAAAAACTAGCCAAGACACAGAAGATTGTACCTGCTGTTAACCAAGTAAGTAAAATAAAGGAGAGAAAAGGGATATATATATGTATGCTGATGGTACGTATAGATTGAATTGCATCCTTTCTTACCCCAAGATGAATTGGTCAAATACTGTCATGACCACGGTATTGTTGGTAAGTTGTTGAAAACTTCTGGAAAAAGAATAGTTGTGTAATCTTGATTTTTTGTGTGCAGTTACTGCCTACTCTCCTCTTGGTAGCACAGGCTCACCTTTCTTGAAAGACGAGAAAATTGTAAGTGAAATTTTCCCAAAGAAAAGGGGATAAGAGACTAAACCAGTTTGAAATTGTGTTGTTTAGGCCAAGATTGCAGAGAAATATAATGCCACACCTGCACAAGTTCTTATCTCTTGGGGTATTCAACGTGGCTACTCCGTTATTCCAAAGTCAGTCAATCCCGATCGTATCGCATCCAATTTCAAGGATCTCGAATTGAAACAAGAAGACTTTGATGAATTAAACACGCTTGTTCACCAACAAAAGGCCAACAGACTGATTGATCCCTATAACTTCTGGGGCGTCGATGTCTTTGAAGAACACTAGATACATGTTAATAAAAACTCCTTTTTTATTTACTGTTCTCTAAAGCGTGTGACTTTACCAAACAAATCTATACCAGTGAATTGTAATTATTGACCAATTATAAATCACAGAACAGCGTAGTAGACTAGTACGACATGTGATTCCGTAAGGATCGTCTGTGCATTTACTGTAAAATTGAGAACTAGGTTTCCTAGGTAACAAACAACCTGGGTAATTATAATCTTTTTTTTTTATCCAATGTCTCGATGAATGCCTTTGTCTTTATTTTATTTATTTTATTTTTATTTTTGGTTTATTTTTGGTTTCGTTGCTTATTTAAACACGTGTAACTATGCAAAGTAAAAACATACAAAAAAGGACTTGGAACTCTCTCTTTTCACTCAACAAAAGGAAAAAACAAGTGGCACGGAGTGAATGATACACAATAAGTTAATTTTTTTTGTTTTTAAAAAAAGCCTAATTTTTCCTCTCTCTCTTTTTTTTCCCTTTTTTTATTTTCCTTTTTTTCATTTTCTTTCTTTCTTTTACTTATTCTTTACTACTAATTATACTTTTTCAGTCCCTTCTTTTAAGCTTCAATCAACTTTTTTTCATTTACGAATTATAATCTATAACATCTGTCTTAATGGGTCAATTACTTTCGTCCTTGAATCTCCGCGGTAATTCAGATATAGTGCCTGAAATAGGCTTTGATATAGAAAGTAAACAAACAAAGAAAGATAAAGGCAGCTTCATTCATTCTTATTTGATTATAGATGCTGCACCTTCTCCAGAAGAATTAGAGATTTACAATGAATTACATACACTCTTAATTCAACCCACATCCAACCTATTACAGTCCTTTAAACAGTATGAACCAGCGTCCGATGCTATTCGAGATGCCATAGCAACACCTAGTGATGATAATGAAGATAAAGCATGGAATGCTGTTTTACCTACAGTGAACATGCTTCGCACATTTTATAGTTATTCCTCCGAACTAGGTAGTAAACAATCTCGATTGGAGTGTATGAATATGATTAATCGAACCTTTTATTTGAACGTAGGAAGGGGTATTCCAATATTATTGAATGTGCTATGTAAAGATGGAACAACCAAAGACTTAGATAGACATCCAGGATTAACAAAACTATTCGCCGATTTACTTGATTTTGTGTTTGAATTTGATTATTTAAAGGTACTTTTAATACTGATACACAAAATTAAAGGTGATTAACCACATATATAGATAAGAAACCCTACAATTCAAAACGACTTCTCGTTTTATAGGCGCACATTACAAAGAGGAAGAAGTACAATAGATGCGAATGATCCTACGAAATCAGATTTACGTACAGCAATGGATGAAGATGATTTGGCTAATCGAATATCGTTATTTATTGCCTATTCAACGCCCATGCTTAAATGCGTAATCGATACAACCACAAAATATGTTCAGTCAAGCCAATTGACAAAGAGTGTAGGCGAATGGTTATCGAGCATCTGGGCTGTTTGCTATCAAACACTATATAAAAAAAAGTATTCGAACGAACCCACTCTGACCAGTTTCTGCCTAAAGGTCATGGTCGTATCCATCATACTCTATGATCACATTGACCCGCAAGGAGCCTTTAGCAAGTATTCCCCTATCAATGTAAGTTCCCTCATTTGTTGTCTAATGTAACATGTACTGATTTGCTATAGGTTAAAAATTCTTTAAAAATCATTCAATCCATTAATACACAACAAGAACAATCAAGTACCATTAATCTTATATCTGCTTTACGTTATAATTCAAAACATCTCAATGATGAATCAACACCAAAAGGAATTAAAAACATGATCATGGCGACTTCTTAAACCATTTGCATATAAAGAAAATTCTATATATATAAAAAAACAATCATGAATTCCCGCCCTATTATTGTCTGTGTAACATAACACAATATAGCAACAGGTCAAAGGAAAGCTGTTGTTCTTGTTGTTGCTACAATTACTTTTTATTTTCGTTGAGAAAGTATAAGATGTGTGTTATGCGGTCACCATGACTACAGCTGCGGTGACAATGGTTACCATGAAGCTAATGTTATTAATGTTAATCATACTAATATTCAAATACTAACCTAACCATTTAACAACATTAGATGTAATTGAGGCATGTAATTATTCAGCACTAAGCTAACGCTACTGTATTTGATTCTTTTTTGCCCTACCTTTTAAATTGGGTAAATGTACAGGGGATCAAGTCAATGGTTTGCTGTAAATCAATTATCACAACATGTTATTGGATTACTCGCAATTTCCTTTTTCTAATAAAAAAGATAGCTTTTTTTTTCTAAATTTTCTTTTTTTTTTTTTTTTTTTTTTTTTTTTTTTTTTTTTTT